GCAAACCCCCCCCCCCCCCCACAACAACTCACACGGGAGAAGCAATCAAACCAAACCAAACCCCTTACAAATCCCTACCAAACAACCCCCTCAACCCATGACTCCACCTCCTCTTATGCTCTTTTCCATCAACACCCACACCCCCCACCAAGTTCATCACCCACACTCTTCCTTCCAACAAGTCTACCCCTAATACCATGACTCGTCCTTGGTCGATCAGGCGACGACGACGACGACGCCGCCACCGGGGTTTCAGAGTAAGGAGGAAAATGATAACTACCATGTCTATGATTTGACTTGGGGGAGAAGCCGAAGCCGTGGTAGGATTTCCGGCGCGTAGGAGTTTGGGGTACGATGGCGATGGCGGTGGAGGTGGCGGGGGTAGGCGAGTTCAAGGGACGGCTTTTTTTGCGGAGGAGGTTGGGGGTGTGTTTGCTGTGGGGGTGTGTGTGTTAGTTCAAGTTTGTGTCATAAGGAAAGGGGGGGCGACTTACGCTTTGATATCTTTTTCTAGACGATGGAGATGAGCGTCGGTGTCTCGCAGGGTCTTTTTGAGGTTGTCGCGGAATTTCTTCATGCCGCTGAGGAGGAGGGCTGCTTCGTTCCTTTGCATGCGCGCTTCTTCTATCTGTCTGGTCCATGCATCGTCTTCGTCGTGGTGTGATATGGTACTAGCACGTGTCACAGGTCTATCGTGTTGCCCGCTGATATGTAATCCCAACCCTATAGAACTCCGCGTATGAGCTGACATGGGGCTTGACGGAGCAGTGTCGTATGGTTCATCTTGGATGGTGATGTGGCGTTGTGAGCCAGCGCGATTGGTTTCGCCTTGCTCGGTCCATTCGTCTAGGACGTCTAGGTGTCTCATCTTCTCGTAAAGCGTCGCGACTAGCTTCTCGAAAGCCCTCTTGTCGTTTTTGAGGTTTTCTACTTCTTTCTCTAACGCGGCAAAGGAGGCGACGGGTTCTTCTTGGTTGTGATGCATCTCTTCAATCTCAGTCATCTTCTTCTCTAGCTCTGCTTCCAGGCGAAGGGCGGTCTCATGGTCATCATCCAACCGCCGCTGTTGGCTCTGCTGTTCCTCAAACTTCTGTCTGAGACCGTTGTACGCAGAGTTCATCGACTTCAGCCGCTTCTCCGCAGAAGAACCGAGTTCCTCGATGTACTTTTCTTTCTTGGATAGCTCCTCCACCAGCTTTCCCTTGCCCACCTTAAGCGCACCCAGTTCGCGTGTCTGGTCACCAATCTGTTGGTGAAGGTCGGAGTTTTCGTTTATCAACGTCTCAAGCTCGTTGTTTCGCTCCGTCAACCGGTCCTTAAATCGTAGTTTGGAGCTCTCCGCGGCTTCGAGCTTGGCTTGTGCACTTTGCACAAACTCATGATAGCGCTTCTCCGTCTCTTCAACTGCAGTCTGAGCCTTAGTCATGTCTGACTCCACACGTTCTAGGAAGGCTCCGAGTCGGATATTGTTCTCGCGCGCAGTATTCAACTCTTCCTCTGCGGTTGCAAGGCGGGTTAGCAGTTCCTTTCTAGACTTGGCGAGCTTTACGTTTTCATCACGGAGAGAGGCTAGCTCCTTGTTGGCTAAGAGGAACCTGTTCATCGCTTCGAGACTTTCCGCCTCAGCAATACTAAGCCGCATCTGAGCAGCGTGCAGTTCAGTTTCAAGATAACCGCTACGGGCGGAAGCAGTTTGAAAAGAGCTTTCAAGAAGAGCGCGTGATGATCGCAACTCTTCTAGTTCCTTCCCACTTGCTGCAAGCTGAGAAAGCAAGGTCGCGGTGTTAGATTCAAGTTCGGCCATCCGTGAGCGCATGCTGGAAACATCGGCCTGAAGAGATCCGGTGTTGTTTTCAGCAGCATCAAGTTTGCTTTCCAACTCTACTTTGGTCTTTGCCAGGGTATCCATCTCCGCTCTGGTTTGAGCCAGCTCTGCAACCATGCGAGAGTCTCGTGATTCAAGTTCTTCGAGACGGGCGCGAGTCAACGCCAGACTCTGCTCTGCATTTGTCGATGCTGCTAGCGCTTCACTAAGCCTCCCTTCGACATCGTCTTTGAGTTGGCGGAGAGTATCTAGCTCTTCTTCCGCGTCGCATAATTTCGACGTGAGATGGGTATTCTCTAGATCAATCTCTGCTAGCTGCGAGCGAGTCACGACAAGATCCTCTTTCAGATTTGCATTAGATGTTGTCATGCTGTCGAGTCGGTCTCGCATGTCAGCGTTCTCTTTACGAGCCGTATCCAGCTCTTTGTTCAGCTCAGCAGTGGCCTCCAGAGTCTCTTTCAGACGTTTTTCGACCGCCGCCTTGGCTCGGCACATAGCTTCAAGCTCTTCTTCGGTGGACGATAGTCTCGTTTCGAGCTGAGATACCTTTGCCTGGATTGCCTGCAGCTGAGACCGCGAGTGTTGTAAGTCCTGGTCGAGTGCATCGCGAGCAGCACTAACAACCTTCAAGTCTTTGTCGGCCTTCTCCTTGGACTGTCGCAGTTCCACCATTTCCTCATGAATGGTAGAGAGCCGTGAGCGCACATCACTGGCTTTTGACTCAACCTTTTTCAGCTTGTTTCGTGCGGACTGAAGTTGGTTTTCGAGATCTGATTTTGAGCGGAGAGCATGATAGAGACCTGCCTGGGCTTCTTGTGTGGCAGCTTCCGACTCCTCGATCCGAGCGTGGAGATCAGCCAGTTCTGTACCAGATGCCTCACCATCCATCTGAGCAATCGACAAGGCCTCTTCGACTTTTGACTTTGCATCACGATGGTCTTCGAGCTCCGTTTCAAGCTCTGACACGCGACATCTGAGTGACGCCCCTTCATCAGTGATAGCCGCGAGTTGCTCTTCAAGACTGGCTTGGGTGTCTGCGCTAGTCCTCAATTGCTCTTCAAAATTTGTAACATTCGCTTGTAGACCGTCGCGTTCGCCCGCTGTCGATATGAGCTGTGACTGAACATAGTCAACCCGATCTTGAAGCTCTGCTTTTGATCGCATAGCATCACCAAGCTCGCTTTCAACAGAATCCTTGGAGTCTCGCACAAGACGTAGCTCCTCTTGTAGAGACGCCTCCAGTTTCTCCGACGTAGCCAAAGCTGATTGGAGATTGAGAATTGACGACTCAAGTTCACGCAAATGTTCATCGCTCTTTGCCATATCCGCAGCATGCTGTTCGTCAGTTTTCCTCATGACAGTTTTTGTTTGCTCCAGCTCCTTTGCGAGAGACAAAACCTGCTGCTCTGAGTCTTGAAGCCTCTGTTCGTAGTCCTTTTTCGCAGACTGCAGTTCAGCAATCTCACTGTCTCTAGTCTGCACATCCTCGTACAGTTTAGAGAGTAATTGCTGTGTGTCCCTTAAATCTGCCTCAAGCTTGGACTTCTCAGCTCGGAGCGTTTCTGCTGTAGCCTGAGCAGTGGCATCGGCTACTTCCAGTGACTCAATGCGCCCGAGAGCTTGTACAAGACTAGCTTCGGCAGTATCGTACGATTTGCGCAGATCCTCCAGTTCAACCAAGAGCTTCACTTTGGCTGCTGCTTCTTGGTCCCAGCTCTCTGTCATGACACGTAACTCATCCTCCACACCAGTCTTCTCAGTCCGCATCGTCTCGAGCTCGGTAGCCAGGGCATCGCGTGCATCGCTTTCGGATTGCAACTTGGTTTGTAGAACCTCCATCTCTTCTTTCAAAGTTGCCAATGCATTTTCATTGTTCTGGTTCATGATTTGCGAATTTTGTAGTTGCTCGCGTAGCTCTGAAATGTCATGTCCATCGAGTTCAATCTTCCGCAAATGTTCCGCCGCATCGGCTTCATAGCCGGTGATCTTCTGCTCCAGACTAGCGACGTGCTGCCGTCCTCGGTCAAGTCGCTTCTTCAAGCCTTCGCATGTTTGTTCCTTCTCGGTCAGTCGTTCTTGCAGGGATGTCTCGTAGCATTCGGCAGCCTCAAGCTTGCTCCGACATGATTGTAAGCTCTCGTCTAGGATAGCTGTACGGATCTCAAGTTCTCTAATTTGAGCGCTTTGGTCGCGGAGGCGTTCGTCCAGATCGGTGTTCTCTTTCTGCAACGCATCAATCCTGCCTTGCATATCACCACCCCTTCCCTCCCAGGCAGCAAGCTCTTCGCTCTTGGCTTGCAGCTCCTGTATCAATCTGTCCTCTGAGTCTATCACTGTGAAAAGTTGAGACTTGGTGGACTGTAGTGTCTTTTCCACGGCAAACCTTGAGCGTTCCAGAACAGCGATCTGAGACTGATAATTCCGTATCTCCTGCTCTAGCCCCTCCCGAGTTATCTCGAGGAATCTGCTATCCTCTCTACTCTCTTCACATTCATGTTGTAGCTGTTCGATACGGCGTCGACATACGGCAAGCGCCCGATCCGACTCGCGTTTCGCTCGTATCAAACGACTATCGGACGTACGTATCTCAGCTACACTTCCGATGCGAGGAGTGAGCTCAAAATCGACATCGTTCCAGGGAGACGGAGACGGCCGTGTTGGGGTCCTTGGCTCGCTGATTGGACTACCTGGCACACTTGACCGCGTCGGTGGGGACGGAGGTGGTGAGAAGAAGCTGTGTTCTGGTCGGTGTTGAGGCTCATCTTGTGGAGTCGAGTCTATCATTTCAGTCAGCAAAACTAAGGCCGAGATCCGATACACTCACACTCAAGGGTCAACATAGAAGCCCTTTCCAATGCCTCTAGAATCTCCTTGTTCCGTTCCTCCTCAATCTTCAACGCCCTCTTTAGTTCATCCACCCTCCTCTGCGCACCTTTACCCTCGAGATAGCTGTTTGTTCTACTCCTAGCAAGGTTTCGAGCAGTGTTCGTAATCTGCTTCTCCTTGACTGATATGTTAACTGCCATGCGAAAGGCAAGACGACGTAGTGATGTCACGGATCGCTTCGCTTCAGCACCCGCAATCTGGTGTGCCTTCAGTTCGGCACGTAGTGTATTACGCTGAGTCTTCATGTAAGAAAGGTGCGCCCAGTTTGATATGACGGTGGGCGCATCTCCCGCTTTTGGAGATGGGACTTCCGAGTTCTCCCCGCCATCATGTTCAGATTGCAGAGGCTTTGTTGAAGGAGAGCGTCTACGATCCAACATGAAGCTATCTGTCATGGACGATACGGACCGCGATAGGCTAGAACCGGAGAGCGGGGTAGCAGACGGACGAGTTCGCGACATGGCACGCGAGGACGGCTGTGATGTGGCGTCCTTTGGAATATCGCCAGCACATTTCTGCATATTGATGAAACTTGCGGGGAGTATATTCTCCAAACCAGATGCGGTACGAATATTAGCATTTGGACGGTCCAGATCCTTAGTCTTGGATCCGGGTGCCATGGCGGGCGGGCTGTGGTTAGGTTATGCGACCATGAGGTGACCAAACGGCGTTTTAGGGCAGAAAAACGGTCGAAACTTAGTACCACACTGAGGAACTGCTCCAACAAGCCCGAGTGCGTTGGCGTCGATGATAAGAGACGGGTAGGGCTAAAGATCGTGGTGCGATGTGGGCCTGTCACGCGAGAAGCGGGACTGGAAGGAGAGGAGAGAACAGGGATGAGGTTAGGAATAGGCAAGAACAGGATTTGTGTAGGCTTCGTATTCGACTATAGGGTAGGACAAGAGACGCTGGCTTGGACGCAAATAAGCAGCCTCAGGCTTTTGCAAGCCGAGACAGCCGGAAAGATGCGAGACACACCCGTCACAGCAGCAATGACGAAGGAGAGACGGCGGCGGCGGGCGTCAGCAGTAGCAGCAGCAGCGAACAAACCATGGTTCTTTTCTGCAGATATTTCGTTCAGGGTACAAGCGTTAGCGGTGGATTCCAATTAACATGGATAGATCCTAGTCTTTCCAGAAAAGGCGCCGTTGTTGAGTGTTTTGCGCCTGCGGCCCGGCTGCTGGAATGATGCCAACGACGAGGTCAGTCCCGGTGGGTCGAGCGAAGCAGAAGGGTGGGGAGACATGGACTGATGCACCTGCACATGCACCCCATCAGAAGGTGGACTCCGCTCCAGCGCTGAGGCCCGTCGTTCCTGCGTGCCATAAGGCGCGCAGCGCGCAGTAGCTCAACTACCGGCAGCTGTCATAGAACACGGCTGCCGCCCGAGTCAGGCGTCGTCGTCGTCTGTCGTGTATCCACAAGCGATCAATAATTTCACATGTACATGCATGTTGCTGCAGCCCAGCGATGCGGCCGCGGGGCTAAACTACTTGCAGTCGAGGTGCGGTGATGGCATCATCCATCGATAACGTGTCTGTGCGCGTGATGCCCATAATCGCGTGCCGCACACCCCACCAATATCGCGACGACGGCAAAGTTGAGGCTGCGCAGCCACGTACAATAACTATTATCGCGAGATTTTCCGGTGTATTGATCTATAGACGTAGCTCTACAACTTTGTCTATCTATATTTTGCCGGAGTATTGACGGCCCGGCCGCGTCGGGTGGTTGTTGGTGGGGGAGCCGGTGCAGCCACCTCAGCCAGAGTACCACCGCCAGCACCACCCACGCGTCGTTTTTTTGGCTGTTGCTTTGCAGCGGGCTTTGAAGCCTTACGCTTGCCCGATTGGGGTTGTTGTATAGCCTTTGCAGCGTCGCGATCGCGTCGTTTGGCGTCAAGTTCGGCAGCCTTTACAGCCTTGGCTTCATCCCGCACCTTCTTTGCCTCCTCACGCGCCGCCCGCGCTGCCTCTTTGATCTTAAGTTGATAGATCCTGTTGTTCTCCTTTGCCTCTTTCAACTCTATCTTATCAAGTAGCTCTTTCTCCTTCTCCTTCTCCTTCACTAGCTGCCTGAAGCGGGCCTCTCGAAGCTTGCACGGCGACCACCAAACTGCCCCTGAATGGAACGCTTTTCGCTGCTGTAGATCTAGGGGAGGTTCGTGCCGATTGCGGGGCTTCTGGTGAACGTGTAGCGCCGCGCGCAGTGCGTCCTTCTCGTACTCGGCGATCTCTTTGGCAGCCTGGAGGCGGAGGAGTATTTCTGAGAGGTTGTTGGCCGCAATAGAGCTCGGATCGTAGGCCTGATTAATGAGGTTCGTGATAGTAGCTCTACTCACGTTCACTAGTGGCGGCGGTGCTGTTAGTGTTGACTTTCGGAACTTTTTAAGTACTACTTCGGGATCTATAGGAGCTATCCCAGTGGCTTTAAATGCCTTCAACGCGTGCTTCTTAATGAAAGAGGAGTCCCAGGCAGGCTTGAAAAGACGGTAGAAGTCATCCTTCCTCACAGCTAAGAGACCGTGGCTCGCCTGGAGGTAGTGCTGCAAGCTGAGTGAGTACGCGGCTGCCAGAGGTTTGAACATTACCACATCGAGTGGCTGCAGCGTATGGGTACTATGGGGGGGTAGTACGAGTAACATAATATTGTGGGCGATCGCGTAGTCAATAAACTCCATAGTAACGTGACTCCCATGGCCGTCAAGGATGAGTAAGCGTGTGTGATTGCCGGCCTTCTCCTTCGTATGGCGATCAAACACCTGTTCGAGCCATGCCAGGCCTACCTGATCATTGGTCCACCCTGAGGGACTTGAGGTAACGTAGACTGGATCGTCAATTGCGATATCATCAACCCATCTGGCGTACATGTTGCCCGAAGTAGCTTCGTATATAATCGCGGGCGGTAACGTACTCCCATCAGCACATATAGCAGCGATAACAGTGATCCAATCTCTGTTGCCGTCCTGTATCACTTTCTTAAAGCCCCCAGTCTCATATTTCTGCTTACTAAACACTCTCTTACTCCTCCCCGTCACTCCAATAAGGAATCCCTTCTCATCCATATTATATACATCCTGCGCCCGAATATGGTGCTGAGCCATTTTAGTAGATAGTAGATCAAAGTACGACTCGTACTTGTATACAGAATCAGCCCGGTGGCGATTGCGGTCCAAACCAGTTGACCAACGTGATATAATCGCGTCGGGATGACGGTGAAAGAAGCGCGTCACCCAGCTTTGGGAGGCAGCCCTTCCGGCTATAGCACTAGCAAAGTTCTGGATCATAGTCCTCGTCGGTGGTAAGCCAGCCTCAGTAAGCTCGTCAATGTGCTCTAGAAGCTGTAGCTCCTGGTGTGGGTGAAGGAGTTGCTGATTACGTGATTTGGCTTCATTTGAGCCCCGGATCTGTTGATGGCGTCGCGACAACGTAGAGCGATCAACACCAAAGCGGCGCGCAACCTCAGAGTATGTAAATTTATCTCCGGGATCACGCGATTCAATAGCTTCAATCGCAGCGTTGATACAACTCATAGTTGTGGAGTTATGGGTGGTTGAAGTGGTAAGGGTGGATTGGTGTTGATGTTGCGGGGTGTGCGGCACGCGATTATGGGCATCACGCGCACAGACACGTTAAGCACGTGCAAATCTCACGACTACCGGCCGTCATCTCCGAAGCTTCAAGTACACTCACTATTATCTTATTACCACACTAATTCAATAACTATTCAATCTAATTTTATAATCCCCTTTCTACGTTTTCTCTTCACCTATGTTGTAACGTCTTCTACCATCCAACTTGTATTATTATAGGAGAAGAAAAAAGGAAGAAAAAGAAGGGGTGTACTAACTAATGGTTCAGCCCTCCCCAGGACCAAAAAGTCTCCAGACCCCTAGACCCCACTACCTTATCTCACCCACACCACGCACGGAACAATGACATACACAGTAATCTGGTACACTACCGAGCTTTTCCGCTCTTACTTCTGATCTTCATTGTGTATCGGTACGATTCGACGACGGCACGACGGCCATAGAACCGAGATCTACATCTTACATATCTTACATCCGCCGTGCCGTGCCCTGGTTGAGGAAAAGATGAGCCTGATGTGCATACAGGGAGGGAGTATCAGCGATGATCGTGATATGTTTTGATACAAGTATATTTCAACCTTCCATGTACTTAGACACGCAGCACTCTTTCTTTTGAATGCCTCCTCCCCCAATCATCCACCCCTCCCCCTCCCATCCCTCACACTCTCTACTTCGTATACCTCTTCTGCAACGCCTTCCCAATCGTCGTGAGCTGAATATTACTCGTGCCCTCATAAATCGCGCCAATCTTACTATCCCTAAAGTACTTTTCCGCCAGCCCCTCGCGTACAAACCCCATGCCACCCATCCACTCAATCGCCTGGCCCGACACCCTGCCCGCCACCTGCGAGGCCATGAGCTTGGCCATGGCCGCGTCGGTGATGAAGTCCTCGCCGGCTTCTTTTTTGCGTGCCGCGTTGTAGACGAGGGCGCGGGCGGCTTGGATTTCCGTCCAGGCTTGGGCGAGTTGGTGTTGCATGGCTTGGAATTCGCCGATTAGGGTGCCGAATTGTTTGCGGTCGTTCCAGGCGTAGCTGTGGGGGGGTTAGTTTTGTGTGTGTGTGTGTGTGTGTGTGTGTGTGTGTGGGAGAGGCGGGGCTTACCTAGCGGCATTCTCCCATGCTCCCAGAGCTAGACCAGTCATTTGAGCAGCGATACCAATGCGCCCCTCGTTCAGCAGTCCAATCGCGTACTTGTAACCCTCAAACTCGTTGCCCAGAAGGTTCTCCCTCGGGATCTCGACATCGTCAAACGTGATGACGCAAGTGCTACTAGCCTTGATGCCTAGTTTCTTTTCCTTCTTCGCAATCGCAAACCCGGGTGTTCCCTTTTCCACGATGAACGCAGTGATGCCTTTGTACTTCTTGCTGGGGTCGAGATTGGCAAACACTATGAAGAAGTTTGCCTCGACACTGTTCGTGATCCACATCTTGCTGCCGCTGATCTTGTACCCAGTGTCTGTGCGTGTGGCTTTTGTCGCGAGGGCGAAGGCGTCGGAGCCGGACACGGGCTCGGACAGACAAAAGGATCCGACTGTGTTGGTTGCCAACTTGGGCAGCCACTCCTTCTTGAGCTTCTCGGACCCCCACTTGAGGATGGCTGTGTTGACGAGTGTGTTGTGCACGTCGCATAGCACGCTGACGCTGGGGTCTACTCTTGCCAGCTCTTCAATCGCGATGATGGCAGAGGTGAAGTTCATGCCTGAACCGCCGTACTCTTCGGGTATCTCAATACCCATGAGGCCTTGCTCGAAGAGTTGCTCTACTATAGCTGGGTCCATTGCTTCGGCCTCGTCCATTTCTCGTGCCTTGGGCAGGATGACCTCGTTTGCAAACTTGGATACGGAGTCGCCCATGAGTGTCTCCGTCTCGGAGAGATGTGTGATGGGCGTCGGCGGTACATCTGAGATATCGATGGCTTCTCTGCGCGGCATGGTCGACGAAAGACATCGTATTCTAGTACGGCATTCACATTAGTCCGCTGCACTGCATCGCCTACATTGTTGAACACCTACTGAGGCCCGGCGCGGACTGCTGGTCGTAGCGACCGTGACGAAGCAGCCGCAACGCGAGTGAGAGGTCGGAGTGATCTCGAAAAAGAAGCCATATTTGCGATAATGGATAATTGGAAAGAGATTGGCTATGGCATTCGTCTTTCAATATTCAATCGCTGGATTGTGCAAGGCCGGTCCACCGCAAGCAGAGGGGCCGAGGTAGGACAAGTTAGCCGGTGCTGGCCGTGCCACATGCTTCCAAGGTTTCCGGCGGAGTTCTGGAGAAACCAACCAGGCACATGCACATGTGAGCCTCGCATCTCCACCATTACGTAGTCATGCAACAGAGCCGCAATAGTCAAACATGACATCAAGCCATATCGCATTTGTCCACTAAAAAACTACGAAATAGCCTTTTGCCTGTGAGTAGAAACAGCAACAAGGGTATATATGTATGAAGAACAATCATAACGCGACCATGACAAGGAAAAACAGCAGGCTCGATGTATTCAAGAAAGCTGCCAATCAGAAAGAAACCCCCTCCAATTAAAGATTGTACACATGCGCAAAACATGACTCGTCCCACGGCTATTAGACGTTGTGCGATCCCATGCCGAACCGCCCAGCCTGCATCTGCGCCTTGTACTCGCTGAGCTCGGCCGCCTCTTTCTGCTCCTCCGCAAGCAGAGCCTGAGCTTCTTTCCTGCCCGCGCGCCTTTGCTTGATGCAGCAGAAAAGAATAATGACTCCAGCCAGCGCCGCTCCGCCCAAGCTACCGGCGATGATGCCAATCTTTGCGCCGTTGGATAGCGCCTTGTACCTGTTCCTGACGCCGTGTGGCGATTGGATTTCTTCAAGCACCTCGGATTTTCCCCTGCAGGTTTTTGTTAGCTTTTTTGTTATGTGCGTCGAGTGTTTCAGAACGCGTAGATGACTTACTTGAGCACTTTGACTTTTTCCCAGTTACCAGATGCATCCATGTCCTCCCAGGAGTACTTGGCGGCGCCGCTTGTGTAGTCTTGCGCGTAAACGGATTGGATCGTCATGGTGTACGGGCCTTGCTTGAAGTCGGTGATACCGCCAGCCCACTCTACGACACCGGGGTCGTTCTTGTTTGGGTCACCTGCAGCCCACGAACCAAGACGGACGTTCATAGGCGTTTGCGGGTAACGTGTTCCGTCGCGGGCCTCTGCCGACGTGAGCGTCCTGACCAGCTTGTCGTCGACCCACCACTCGATGCGATCCTTGGTCCAGTCGATGGTGTAGTTGTGGAAATCCTCCTGTGGTGAGAAGTCGAGTATGTAATCCTTGCCACGGTCATAAGTCGATGTGTCGCCCTTTCCAAAGTAGTTTGTGAGGATCGAGTTGTTGTTGCCGCGGAACTCCCAGTCAATCTCATCAAGCGCTTCCGACTGGAGAATAGCACTGGAGATGATTCCCACTCCGGTCGCGACCTTCATGACAATCTCAAGGCGACCGAAAAGCATGTAAAAGGCAGAGTTCGCTGTGGGAGAGTCGCCTGATCGCTCAATAGTAAAGGTTGCGCCCTTCTCAACCCAGTCAATCTTGCCCTGGTTGGGCATCTTCCAGACCTTGCCGTCATTGGGAATACCCGTCTTGTTCCAGTTGAAGGTGGTGTTTCCACCAAGCGCCTCCATATCCGGACATCCTGTCGTGTTGAGCGGGTAGCCTACAGATGGACATTAGTACCTACGACATGTATATCTCATATAGAAGACATACAGTCAGTGTGAGTTTGCGCAGACGTCGTCGAGATCAGGCCAGCAAGAAGCGCCGCCGTGGGAAATACGAATGACCTCATTTTTGAAATACGAGATGGTTTGTGAGCGAGTGATTTGTGTTCAAAGAGCGTGGTATCGCGCGTAGACCAGACGCGCTGTTTGTGGTGTATCAAGGAATGACTGGGATGCTTGGGGCTGAAGGAGCGGACTCTCGCAACGAGAAAATGCAAACGAGGGGAAGATCGTTCAAGGGAGCGTCAGAACCGTGTTTTGAGACTCGGTGATGAAGAGCAATCGGGGTGCAGCCCTGCAAGATTTAAGGAGTTGTCTAGTGCAGGAATGCTCCCTGGGGATCACTAATTGGTCAACGAGCCTTAAACTACAAACGGCGCTTGCCGATTTCCGATAACCCTTTCTCCTGAGCGTCATTGGCTATTTTTGCTATTGTTGCGGTGCTTTATTGTACCGCAGCTTTTCGATGGGCCTTCGGCAATTGGCCTCAATCATCGTGTAAGAGGCGCCGATTGTCCGTGTGAGACTCTACACGAGAGCATTTCATTTGCTGTAAGCGCGGGAGGCTTTACGCCGCGCCGGGAGCCAAGATCGTCGTGAAACACCAGACACCAGCACTACAGCCTTCAGGCGACGAGCTTTACTCCATGCCGTCCGATATGCAAAGTGCCGCTGCGATAGCGACACAGTGGTGGAGGTATCTCGACATAGTGCATGAGTGGATCTGCATTTTTTACGCACAGCCTTCCTTCTCCACCAACGCCAGACGTGCGCCACCTTTCCGCGCCGAATTTGCCGTGTGCGTGTGCGTGTTGCGTTCCTGAGTACGGACCTGCGTAATGCCGAAACGAGCCTTTTACTTGTCTGCCTGCGCCCTGTCTCTCAGCATACCCCGGCGACTCACCTTAACAGAGGGATCCGTCGAAGCTCTCGTCGTCCAGATCGCTGCAAAGCTGCTCTTCATCCGTCTCTGTTCCATCCGGCACTTGTGTCTCTGGCTCGAAGAATTTACCCCACGCGAATGCCGGCCCGTCCGTGGCAAACCTGCCTTGCATTCGCCAGCGTCCCATGTACACATTCAGGGCCACGAGCACCTTTGCAAGTTGCGTCCAGTTGAAACCAAAGTAGAGGCCCGCTCGACCGTCAGAGGCGCAGTATCTGTCCCAAATTCCCCAGAGAATGAGCGACTTGGCCTGGTCTCCTATGTCTTGATCCTTGACCGTCAGTGCATGCCAGTGTAACAGGCCCTGCATGACCTCATTGCACGACTCCTTGACTTGGCAGGGGGAGCGGGAGTGTATCACTGCCAGAGCTTCATATCGACAGCCGCTCTGGAGGACCTGCATGCAGAGAAGCACCTTCTCCATACGGCTAACAGGCTGCGACTGTATGACATTACCCGTATAGACCAACCATTCCTTGAGGCATCGCAGCTCGTGAATCTTCATGTAGTGCAGATAAGGCAACACAAAGCTAGGATCTTGAAGACCTCTCATGGTCATCTCCGTAATCATGAAACCATTACAGCTGCCCCGTCGCACTCTGTCCGGATCGAGCAGCTCAAAGGATGAGTTGTCTTCTTCTTGTTGTAACCGCCTCTTTACCTCGTGCCTCGGTTGTGGAATCTGTTCCGGGTTTGTTTCTACAACGCTGAGGTTTCTTGGGGTTTCAGGAGGTAACTCGGGGGAGGAAGTGCGTGGTAGGATCGTGACAGCGTCTAATGGGTCAGCTTCTGCTGTTTGACTTGGAGCCGAGGTCGCACCATCTTCAATGGGAAGAGCACCAGACATGAGGAAGAGCTCTTCTACGTCTCTCTCAAGGTATCGTCGAGACTTGGCCGGCGGCTCCCGTTCACTTCTCATCTTCTCCTCACTGGTCGGGAGGCCAACAGTCTGAACCTCATTGTTCATATACCCTCTCTTGTCTTTTCCATCGCGAGTTCTACTGTCGCAAACAAGGTCATTTCTTTCCACCTTCCTGTCTTTTTTTATTGGGTCTTTGGTATTTCCGCGCACTTCCTGGACCTCCCGATTCCAACCCACCTTCTTGTCTTTGCCTTTTCGATCTCTATTGCCGTTGCGAACTTCCTGGCCTTCTTGATCCCTACTTACCTTTTTATCTTTCCTCTTTCCATCCTCGGCCCTGTCGCGTAAGAACAGCTGAGGCGAACCCTTACCCACCCCTTTCATCCTCTCCTCCAGCTTCACCGCGCTCATATACGTCCGCCAAGCATACCTCACCACATACCCAACCGAGGCCTCGAGTTCCTCTCCATGTCCCGGACACCGCTCAATATGCACCTTCTCCAGGCCCCGATGCGTAGACTTGAGCGCTCGCTTGATCTCGTTGACCTGCGTGATATCGGAGTTGCTTAGTTTGGCTAGACACTCCTGGAGCCATTGGATCTGTTTATTGGCTCCGCGCACGTAGTTTCGTATCTCGTTGGGTCCTTCGGGAAGCGTAATGTCGGACGATTGGGTACTGGCAGGTGGCGTGGGTAGCGCTGATGTGGGTGCGTCGGCCGTTGTTGCGTTGGTAGGCGGGACGCGATGCGATTGAAACGGGTTGGAAAATCGTCCCATTATAGCGTAGTCAGATGCCGGCGGGTCGTCGATGAGGTGGATGTTATGGAATTCGAGTGCTCATGCTGCCAAGTCTTGCGAGATCTGTGGGGGTTTGGTTCCATGGTTCGTTACGGGTATTGGGGACCCTTTGCTCGGCTCGCAACTTGCTGGTAACTGGCAAAGCCTGCATTAATGCTGGACTATTTTTGTCAGTTGAAATAGTTTCGTTACTATGTAGTGTTTGTAAGTATCTCGGTATGTGTTCAACGTGTAGTGTGGAGGTGACTGTCGTGGCTGCCGTTATGGACTCTTGGCAAACGTCATGAAGCCATGACTGTCACCATCGCGACTTCCTCGTCGGTATACTACTGAAATCAGGCATTAGGTAGGCGTGCCTTTGTGGGTGTCAGGGCAGTAACAATTTGCGGACAAGTTTCATAAGGCACTTCATTTGTGTGACATAGAATATATGAGACAAACACTGAAGAAACATGTCAAAGTATCCCATTCGTATCTGCCCGAGTTTCTCCCATGTCTAAAGTCTTCCAAAGTACGCACTACGTGCATGAGATTGAATCACACAACTTCTAGAGTTATCTGCCTTGGATTGTTTTAGATGTCTCCTGCTATGCAAGCAAATGTCTTCTACGCCATGAGACAAAGTTCTTTCACTACAACCAAGACATGCCAGTGTCTTCCATATCTTGACGAAAATGTCTCAGCTACTCAGAAAGATGGCCTTCCTTTCCTAGTATAAACCACCCTGATTACTCCCCCCTTGACTCATACAAATCCTCATCAGCACCAGGAACAGACCCGCAATGCAAGCAACACCCGGCGGCTCAAGTGCATACGATATCTCGAGGCGGTCCAACCAATAACCCCGCCGGAACAATGTTGCAGAATTCCATCTACTGATAGAAGAGCACGACCAAGCCTTGAGACACACAGGAACCCCAACGCAGGCCCATGCTGCACATGCTTGTATCAAAAATTGCGAGCGGCCCCTAGTCGAGTATCATGAGATAAATAACAAAAACCGGCCCACACATATACGGCGCCCATTACAGTTCAGAAGCCACCATGTGCTTGTGCTGAGCCAGGAGGTGTGGGAGACCCTAAATGAGCATTCCAGACACGGTACAAACGAGCAGTTGGAAGCCCTTGCCAGGTGGAGATCGACACTCAGAGACACTTCGCAGACAGCTGTGCTGCAAAGGCTGAGTCAATATGACGCTCGATGCGTAGAAGTGTGGGAGATGAAGGCTTTGTTAAGCATCTTTGCGACTATTTTCTTCATGATCACACCGGTCGATGAGATGCGGTTTGAGTTTTCCTGGACCGAGCTCGGTCTTTATCTCTACGGCAAGTGTAGTGAACCTACCGTAATTGGAAACCCCTCCAGGATCACGATGAATCCACTCGACGTGGGGCATGCATGCGACCCAACCACAACTAACTATGCTGGTCTAAACGGACGGGCTGTAGATCGCTTGAGCATGTTGTTTCACGAGCTGGTACACGCATATTTGGACCATTACGCCTGCAAATCTTGCGCGTCATACAATGAGGATGTCGGACAACTAGATGGGCATGGAGGAGCGTGGCAACGGATAGCCAAAGCGACCGAGCGTGCCACTGAAGCATATCTCGGATTTCCGTTATCAAATGACCGATTTACGACGGTGGCTGTTCGCTGGAATAGCTTGTTGCGATGGCCGACGTTGGAGGAGGTGGGGCGGTGGGGCTTGGTAGATGAGTGAAGCGCGCCTTAGAGAATGCGTCGAATGCGCCGAGTGTCGAATATTCCTGTACCAATACATCCCCTTCATAAATCCCTCTCTTAACTTCTCCCAGCCCGCCTCTCCACAAACTGCCTCTCCCTCTCCCCACCCTCAACAATCTGCCTCAAAGTAGGCATCCTCGTCTGCACATATTCATTCATCGTCTTCAGCACCCGATTGGGCGTCCGGTGCGCATTCGGCGGCCGCTTGCTCACATCGCTCAACCCAATGTGCGGCACAGACTTTGCCAGATCCAGCTGTGCCATGCTCTTCATGGGGTGAAACTGTTTCCAAAAGGGCTGACGTTCAATATAGTCCTGGTGCACGGCGCGCGAGCGGTCGATTGTGACTTGGAACCATTTTGTCGACTTCTTTTGTATGCGGGGGGAGAGGGGCTCAAAAGGCATGGGTGGGGGTGTCGGGGCGGGCTTGGTGTTGCGTGTCGTGGTTGAAGTGCGGTTTAGGAGCTTTGACGGGCGTAGGATCTCGTCGATGCCTTGTTTGGGAGGTGTTTGCGAGGTCGTCGATATGATGTCTTCGTCTTCGTCTTCGGTGGGGGTCACGGGTGTGTTCGTTTCGGATTCCGGGCTAATGACCTTTTCAAGGGCAAAGCGGATGGGCGAGGCGTCGAGGGCGCGCTGGGCGGATGCCTGGTCGCTGTAGATGGCAAGAGCGACGTTGTCGGCGGGGTTCTGGTATTCATACTGGCTTTGTCAGCCGTGCACTTGATACAGCTTTTGAGGAAATCATACACGCAGATACTTGAAGGTGCTAATCTCGCCGAAGCGCTGCAAGACGCGGAAGATCTCACGGCTCTCTGACAGATTGGCCGGGCGGGGGACAATGCGCAGATGAATTGAGCGTGGCGCCAGCGCTCGTCGGACAGACATGGTAGTCGTGGGTAGTGGGAGTGGGAGGATGCATAGAGCTTGTTGACGATCAGCAAAAGTCTCAAGTGGGTCGCTAATGTCGCCAATTTACCAGTGCTGAGGTTCGCGGTGACATTCATCACGTGGGTGCCCGCAGTGGTGGGTCAGTAAGCACGTCGTGGTAATTCGAGAAGATGATGATGATGTAATTATATTATATGTAGTTATACATGACTACTGTAAATAAGCCAACGCCATGCTCAACCCAAAGGGAGCTCCCATGTTGTCAAAGATCAAGTGGTATAGTGCATCTGTAGTAACAGCCCAAAACGCCTTCGCTATGCATGTAATCAAATGTCCAACAGAGGTGCCACGACGGCCGCCTACAACCGCCTCTTACACACAGCATTCTCCCTCGAACGCTTGCGCATGCGCACCGGCTTGGTGACGCGGATGCACGTGTCGCGGTATTCGCCTGCTCGCCATGCGGGCATGCTGACGAGCGTCTCAATGCCCTGGACGGGAATGTCGTACTCCATGTTGACGCCCTCGTCCTCGCCTGATGAGGCTGATGAGGCTGACGCACATGTCGACGCTGATGAGGTTGAAGAGGTGCGCGACGCCGACGCCGACGCCGACTCGCTGACTGTGCACTGGTCTTGGTGCTCAATCATCTTGACCAGCTTGGAAATGTCGCGCACGTGCGACGAGTTGCACTGCATGCGCGAGTTGCACTGGCGCTGCATGCGCAGTAGTGAGGCAGTGACGCGCGAGTACGTCGGTCGCTCCTGCGTGGGCGATGCGCACTCGTCGTCGTCGTCGCTGGCGGGCGTCAGAGGGCCGTTGGGATAGCATCGTATGTTTGTGTCGATGCGCAGGCACTGCTGGTTGAGTTGGGCAGCGAGGTCGCCCATTGTGCACGGCGGCGTGGGTGGTCGGTTCAACATGTGTTTGGGCGACTCGGCTCTTGACGTAGGCGACACATTCATAGCAGCCCGCTCGGCCTCGTAGGCTGAGTAGGCAGGCGAGACGGGCGGGTTGAAGGAAAAGGCACGGAACATGGTGGCCATTGTGAATGTCGTGTGCTGGTATGGATGGTGATGTGTGTGTAGATGATTCAATCATCAACCTTTGTAAATTGTTTGGATGTTTGGACGTGTCCACGACTGATATTGGCCCCCCAAAGCGGGCGGCCAAAGGCTGCTATAAGGCGCTGAGCAATGCACAAGGCGGCTTGGGAGGCGAAGCTAAGGCGCCGGGACCACAATGCTGGTTCGCAGGCCACTTTCTTCAACCCCCCATGCTCCGCATCAGCCATCCTGGCACCCACATCCTGGCTCCGCCTGACTGCTTCCCTCCTGTTCAGGCTGTTCCCTGGCCTCTGCCCTCTGCATGCGCATCTCGTCGAGATTGATGGCACGTCACCACTCGTATCCATCACTCCTCTGACCTCACACGGCCAAGCCAAAAGCACCGCTCTCACGTCCGATGTAATTCAATAGCTTGCACCATGCATGCCGCTGCCGCGACAATCTGGAGAAGAGATCGACCACCAGAAGGCGCGACGGAACGTGCTAAGGGACCGATCGCTCAACCAAAACCCGGAAACGCCCAGTCTTCAGCTCGCATTTTTATTTCCATCCAGCCATGGCCTCTGGTTGCGCAACACTCGACGCCGTCAACCACAGCTAGTCCCTGGTAGCCCTAGGCCAGCAATGGTGCAGTGCACATGATGCTTCGACATGCCACGCACACGCAGTCCAGAGCCATAAAGTCTGAAGACTGCGTCGCCCACGGGTTTGGTGAAACTGTGCGCCGGGAAGTACCATCAACCCTCTTTGCCATGAAATTTGCGAAGCCGGTGTTTTCAACTCTAGGCCTCGCTGATCCTATCATCCTTTCTGATCCCCTACACCCAATGTCCCGGGTCGTGGCGGCATGCCTCAGTCACCACACCAAGCGGGTCTTGGGTCACATCCGCTTTGACGTTACATGCGAACGAGTGCTTAATCTCGGCTCTAATCCGCTTGCGCTGGTTTGCCACTTCCACGGTGGGTCTGCCCCGATTGCTAATTGGATCCCTTGATCGTTCCATTGAGCATCAGGGCGCACTCCCGCCAGACGTGGCTGACTGTTGCATGAAAGCCATCAACGCCACGGTTTGGGATACCCGGAGCCTTGGAGCTGCTGTATGTGATTGGACACCGTTTCAGCAACATTCCGAGCACACTTGATCCAGCTCCTCACAGGAATCTTCTGGACCCTACCGCAGCCACCCCCAAGCCAGCTCGTCCCCTGAAAGCTTCCATGCGTCTATTCCGGCTTCCCCGACATTGGCAGCCCCTGCGCCGCTGCCACGCAAACAGCGAGTCCACACCCGCCGTCCTAGCCTTACATGGCGCCGTCCATTTGTCCTAGAGCCTCAGCACCGGATGCGGGAACATGTAGCTTGCCTACACGTAGCCGAGGCCGTCTATTCGATCTGCCTTCACCGTACAGCACGTACCGCCTTTCCTAGGCAAACGTACGTATTCGGCCCGGTCCTGCTGTTCAAAGGGTAGCGTTGGAGTGTTGCGGAAGAAGAAAAGAAACGTACAGTACGCGTCTTTTTTCTGTTCCTATCCTATCGTGCCAGCAGCGGGCTCATGAATTGTTCTCATGGTTCTCTAGTAGTGTATTGGACTCGTTTACAGAACTTGAAGACTCACTCGAAAACCACAAAGACGCGTCATAGCCAGGCATAAGCTGATGGCCGATGGCCGGCCGCCGTAAGCATGAGAGATGAACTAACAACACCCCGATGAGTGAAAGATGACCCATCTGAATACACCGAAGAGATCCGAAATTCAGGGGAGAGGAGTACTTACACCGCATCACTGCCCTTCTTTCGTTCCATCTCTTCAACCAGTCGAGTGGTACCTCCAACAAGTACCACAATTCACATACACACACTTCATGGTTCCTAATCTAGACCCATATTATGCAGCTATCACCACTATTATTTGCCTTGTTCGCGTCTGCAGCCGTCGCGCAAGAAAAATGGGGGTTCAGGGCCGGTGATGGCTTATGCACAGCCAGCCAAGACCGTCGCTGTGCAAGCATGAACGCAAAATGTGGTAGATACGGGTAAGTAGCATACATTGCAGCGTCTACATGTATACTTTGTTAACTTGTGTTTTAGAGATGCCAAGGGCAGATACACGACCCAAGCATGCGAACTCAAAGATGCAACGTGCCCGTGCTTTCGCCAGATCTATAATGGTGCCCCCCTGGGCGTTAAGCTCTCTCCGTACGTCCATGTCTACATGTTGGCGCTGAAGTTTACTGATCAAAGATAGGAATAAATATGGTTACACTTGCGGTTGTTTAAACGCCTTTTGAACGTTGTCGTGATGGAAATGCAAGTTTGGTTTCACGGTGGTTGGAAGGACATGGACGGATGCATCTTTGAGGAAATCATGCTTGTCAAAGAAAAGGAAGAAACTCAATGTTATGTACCAACCAAGCATTTTCTATCGTGCGGGGCAAGAAAGGATACATACCTACATTCCCTCCAATAAACCAAGCCTTCAAGAAACGCAAGACATCCCTAGACTACAGAGAAACAAATTCATTGCCAAAACACCTGACACATTCTACACAGCAAGTCTAGTTTACACCTTCCCATTCCCCGCACCCTCAAACCCACCCTCGTTTCGTACAACCACAACAACAGCCTCGGGATGTACATAGGTGTAATCCACGGCTGGATGTAACACAACAGCATCTACGTCTCACTCCACCAAGTTTACTATGATTCACCCACACAAACGCATTGAGCTTGGCATGATAAAACACCAAACATGCATAACACATCCCCCATCCATCTTTCATCTTTCCCATGCCGCACGCGCTTGCGCCTCGTTTGGTAGCCCCAGCTTTCTCCAGTGCATCGCGAAGCCGTGCTCGGATTAAAGCCGAGTCAACGTCAAGTTAGTGTCCTGTCCCTGAAAAGCAGATCTCCGATCTCCGATCTCCTCAAGGTACACCATGCCTTACCTTAGCTTACCTTACCTACCTACCCTGGAAGTTGGTTTGTCTCAGAAAAAAAATACCTCAGCAGTAGGTAGAAATACCTGAGACAAGCAGGCATGTTTGACATGTGGACTGCGCCTCAGACTGCGCCTCACGAAGAAGAATCCCATGTCGTTGCTTGTTAGGAACATGGCTGCCATGGGATGTGGCAGTGCAGTGCGGTTACGTGTGCTTTATTTTCTTATTGCAGGAAGACACGCGCTGCGTTTGCCGAAGATGAAGGGTTTGGGAGTTTTGCGCTTGTGTACGGTTAACTTGTTATGGTTCGATATAACGGGCTTGCTCGCTTGTATAAGGAATATCTGCAATGTTTAAAACAGCGTATGTGGTAAATCGTCGCTATTTTTACATTGGGTTAGTTTGGGGGTTTGGGTATGCTATTTTACGAGTGAGTTGGTATAACTAGCTCTCGTCGTTGTATAGTTATGCGCGCCAACGCTGTGTCGACTATCTAGCCGGTAGGTAAAGCAGAGACGACAACCCCCACCAAGAGTCTACTTACTCTAACGACATGGCAATGTTTAGCAAGGATGCAGATGCAAAAGTTTGTTTGCGAATCAAACTAGTCTCAAAACCGTTCCAAGACGACACGACGCCTACCTACCTCTGGCGCGCGGGTTAACTAGATACGCGTTCCTCGCGTTTGAAATACCTTAGTCGTTATCAATAACGTGTGGGGATTAACTAACTAGCTAGCTGCGTAGAGTTGGTGTGGTGTGGTGTGTGTTAGAGCTGGACCCTTAACTTACCTTGCGAAAGGGGGTCCCTAGACATATACCGTTGGACTGGTAAGCCTCACAACCTGACGCCCTGCCTGATGCATGCCTCACTACCTAAACGCTAGCGGTTGGTACTTTCCACAACGCCCCATTGTCGCGTCGCGTCGCGTCGCATCCCCTTCAACCTTTGATCCTGGAACCTGGAAGGAACCCTGGAGCGAAGACGAAGAAAAAAGAGTTTTGCGGTTTAGTGAGGCCGATTTGCCACGGCGCGGAAGCGGGAACGAACGCGCATGCCGCGCACACTCGGGGGTGTGAGATGTGGCAATCGCTCCTCCTCCTTCTCCTCTTCCTCTTCCTGACGACAGATAGACAGACGATAAAGTTGCGTGCCATTTTCCGAACGAGCTGACTCGATATCGGCTGCATGCCGCGATTCCGGGTGCACGTGCACGACGTTTCACCGGGTCCCGGCTAGTAGGAGAGTAAGGTAAACGTCCAGGGCAACCCCCGAAATGCCAAGACTGGGTCTAAACTATGCACAATTGGGCACCTACCTGGGCATGGGCAAGACTGCAATCCACGTGGCTCCCTGCTGCTGGAATCCCAGATAATCGGTCCGGTGTGGCTAATGGCCGGTGTGGTCGTGGTTTGTACAATTCACGCAACATGGACAACGCATGATACATACAGCAAAACCACAACTTTCTCTCCTCAGCTGACTTGGAGATTGCCCGCAGGAGATTTCCAGATTCTGACGTGACAGGATAGTCGGAAAGTCTGTTGGAGTCGGGCTTACGCACAAGCATGCACCGTATCGATGTCCCCCCAAACCCACTTCTGAATCGTGTCTGTGCACGACGCACCCAAGGCTTTTGCACATGGACACCGACACGAAAGGAATGAACCCCTGTTGTCAATCCCCGAATCCTTCAATCTTATCCTCTTACCGCCTCTCGAGTGCCCAGGTGGGGATGGGGCTTTCCGGTGGAGAACGGCTATCATGACTCTGGTTCTTTTTCGCCTTTCCCATTCCTCTTTTTTCCTTCTTTCAATGTTTTCATCATAGCGATATAGTTCCAACTCGATTTTTGTTTGGTCTTGATTGCATTTGCGTATACCGTCCCCATGGGGAAATCATCGACCTTTACTGAAACGACGGCCACACACAATTGTGTGGAGAAGAAGAAGAGACGTCGTCTTCATCCCGTCCGCCGCATTGCGAGATTGTTGCTTGGTGGCTCGAAGTCGAAGAGGGAAGGGAGAGATACAACATCGGCAGATGGTGACAATCACGAAACAGAGGGCAAGACTTGTTATGGTGCCTCGCGATGGCAAAATGTCCTCCCGTTCCTCGAGCCACTCATTGCGCTCGATCCAAAGCTCTCTTTCATCGAAGACCGCATCCTCAAGCGGCCAACACCAACAACGAGCGAGAAAGTCCGACAACAACAACATAAACCAGAGCCACCCCGCACACTCCGTCATCTCCAACAAAGAGTCCAAGACGAAGATGTATTCTGCAATTGCGACGAATGCGCGCCGAAATACTACAAAATCAGCACCACAGCCTCCCACGGCACAATTCGCGACCTCCCACCACAAGACTCCCAATCCACCACATCCACCAAGAAAACAAGAAGTTTCCAAACACCACTCCAACTAAAAACCCCCACACCAATCCTCCCTACCCTAACCCTCCGCTTCCACGGCGGCACCTACGAAGCCATGACCCTAGTCCGACACCACATCGCCTGGCTCGACGCAACCTACCTGCACCCATCCGCCTCGCCCACCGTAGCCGTCAAGAAACTGCGCACCTTACTAACAGCCTGGCACCCGCACCTCAGCAGCGCAAACCTCCGGCACACACTCTCCACGCACCAATTAGCGACGCTATTCTCGCACCTCAACGCCGTCTTCTTTGCAGGCTGCGTACCGCCGCATAACAAGACGCTGAGCGCGGGCTTCAGCTATTTGAGTGAAGCGTGTAGCGATAGTTTTGGGAGGAGTAATTTTAACAGGGTGTTGGGGACACAGGTTTTGCTGCATCCGTGTTTATGGCGGGGACAACATTCGCACACGCATGGACACCGTACATCCACTTCTACAACAACAACAGCGGCGGCGGCGGTATCGTCACGCCTCTCAACCCTTCTCCACGAAATGTCCCACGCTTACCTCCAAGCCTACACCTGCGCCGCCTGTCCCACACACGCCTCCTCCATCGGGCCCCTCGGCCACGGCCGCGCGTGGCAGCTGCTAGCCGCGAAAATCGAACACGTGGCTTCTGTTCTCCTGGGTACGGGCATGGATCTCGGGCGCTTGCCGGCGTTGTTGCGCGATGTGGGTGCTGGCGCGGCGTTGCCGAGTTGGCATGATTTGGGGGTTTGGGGGATGCTTGCGGGGGAGAAGGAGAAGGAGAGGAGGGAGTTGGGAAGAGAGGATAGTGGGGTTGGTGGATTGGTTGGACTGGGTGGGGAGAGGGTGGTTAGGAGTAGAGGGGGGGTAGGCAGTAGGGGGAAGAGTAGGGCGGGGAGTAGTAAGAGTGGGGATGGGAGGTTGTGGTGGTTGATGGATGAGAAGGCCGAGGGGAGTGAGATTGCGAGGAGGAGTGTGAGGTTGGTTTTTGATAACGAGGATGGGTGAGTGGTGGTGGTCATCTATGCAGGGTTCACGACACGTGGTAGAAGGGGGGAGAGAAGTCATGGGGTTGACATGTACATGTCAGTGTAAGTGTAAGTATAACGCCAAGATGGGCGTTTTCCTTTCCCTTCCCCTTCACGACCATTGTACGAACGTACTTGGCCCGGACAACTAGTCAGCGCCGGCGCTTACGATCCGATAAATATTAGATTTGAGACGTTTATTTGTTTGTTTGATTCCGTCGAGATGACGTTGAATATAGTTGGCCATTTTTAATCTAGCACGATATACCCATTCATTCAATTTATTCATACACATACAACCACTTCACCTCCCCCGACCTGTGATTTCCATGCACTAAACAACGGAAAATGCCTCCGACCCTAACAAACAAACAAGACGAAGAAGCTACAAAAACATGTAAAAAACTATCATTCCTGCATTCTTGCCCTCCCCCTCCCCCTTGAGAAAGACAGAATATGCAGACGCAGACTTGGACTACACGACACGACCATCTAGTACATATCCCCTTCTATCACAAAAACTACATGAACGTCGTGGGTGGGACGACATGAAGGAACAAAACAAACCGAGACAATACCTACTTATCTACGCCCCCACTTCACTCTTGAGTAGTAAAATAAACAAACAAACAGACCAGCTACACACGCAGAAAACGCAGAACTGTTGGTTAATCTTAATTTTAATTCTTCTCTCGAAGTAACTACATCTACACACAACTCTTACCTCACCACACCAATTCGCCAACGAAAAAGCATTCAATATTATACATTTCCATCTTCTGTTGCTTGGTGCACGTACATGTCTAAATTAAAATCTTATGTGTAGGTTTCGTTCGTTCCCAAGGATGCAAGTATTACAGTAGGAAAGAAAGAAAGAAAGTCTAGAGGTGGATGAAATGAGAACAAGAAAAAGGAAGATAGGAAGGGAAATAATGAACCAAGGGGGTATATACACGTAACATGAACATGAACATCCCACCCATGAAGATGCCTGCCTGCCTGCCTGCATCAAAAACAAGAGATGATGCCCGCCCCGCCAAAAAAAAATCAAAATGTACTCAAAACTCCATCGCACGCCCACCCATGCATCCATGCACCATGCACCTTAACCCATCCCATCCCATTCCATCCCAGCCCAAGTAAGCCGAGAAAAACCAACTTTTCAATCACACAAATCAATAACCTCAACATCATCCGGCACAAAACTCCTCTTCTTCTCCCTCTCCCTTTCCTTCTTCTCCCTCTCCCTCTCCCTCTTCTCCCTCTCCCTCTCCCTATCCCTATCCCTATCCCTAGCCTCAACATCATCATCACAAACCCCCTCCCTAACCTCCTTTTTCGGCTCCCACCTCCCATTCTTCTCCACCACAACCGCCCTCGTACCGCCCAACCCCCTCTTAGGCAAGTCCTCACAAATCTCCTTTACAAAACCATCCACAAGCAGCGTGTGCGGTCTAGCGTCACCCCTGCAAATTGGACAACGCCATTGGTCCGCCACCGATGCGTCTGCCTTGCGCGTCCGCGTTGATAAGAAAGTTTCTAGGTCGAAGCAATTGTTGTGAAGGCAGGATTTTGCGCGGACGGGAATGTCGCAGAAGCGGGATTGGTAAAAGGGGTCGAAGAGGGTGATTGTGAGGGTGGAGTCTGAAACGACGGCGATGTCGTCATCGTCATTCGTGGACTTGGAGAGTTGGTCTTGTATGGCGGCGAGGACTTTTTCAGAGGGCACGTAGTTTTGGTTGGTCACTTGTCCGCGAATCGAGTCGTGGGTTGCGACGCCGACGGTTTCTACGCCGATGGAGTAGGCGTGGTGGGCTGTGTCATTGATTGAGGTTAGGACGGTGAATTCGAGTGTGTTTTCGCCTTCGGTGACAAGATCGGTAATGTCGATGGGCATGTCTTTGCCGTGGTGCAGCTTTTTACGTTGTTCGAGGTGGTGACCATTCAAGGAGAAGTAGGAGCGTGGGATCCATTTGGTGTCGGCGGCTGCCCAGGCGGCGTCGCTTGGGTCTTCGGGTTTGCCCCATTTGATGCAACGCAGACGGATGAGTTTACTGTTCTGGTCAATTTCCCTGGCCACTTCACCTCCGGCGCAGTTTGATCGTGGAAGCCTATTCATGTCTTCACGGCATACCGTAAAATTCCATTTCTCAACTGAAAGGCTGGGGTTCGATGGTCGCTCAGGACGCCTCATAAATCCATCTTGAAAAATGTAGAGAGGCGACGAAATGGTCTTTGCGCGCAGTACTGGGCTTTGAAGGTTAGCTTGATGAAGACTGAAGCGCACAGGGTTAGGTTCTCGCTGTAGAGGCTGTTGCCATCCTGCAGGTGGAAGTAAAGGCGTTCCTCGTGAATTTGACGCAACAGGCCGAGGCCGTGTACGGGACTGTTGGATGACGGCCAGCGGATTGAATGATGTATTGAGACGCGAAATTTCAGGGCGGTTGCCAAATGATGCTGGATAGTTGTGCTGAACGTGTGTGTTTGTAGAGACTTGAATCTGAGGATTTGCAAATTGTGGCGCTTGAACCTGGGAATCTGCAGATTGTGGCGTCGGAAGTTGGGGAGTTGCAGGCTGTTGAACTTGAAACTGAGGATTTGAAGTCGGCCACGGTGGAAGCTGAAGATTCAATGGCTCCGGTTGGAATTGATGAATCGGAGACTGTTGTTGCGTCTGCGATGGAAGAATAGCAGATGGAGGTGGCAGTTGTGCTAGCGGATAATTTGGTCGAAACACACCTGGAGGTAGTTGTTGCCGCTGCTCTAGTACTTGATGTTGTTGTTGTATCTGCTGTTGCTGTTGTCGTTCCCGCTGCAGTGGAGCTTGATGTTGTTGTTCCGTGCGTATTAGTTCCCCGCGTGCTTGCTCTTGTGGATGCTGTTGCTGCTGCAGCAATTGTTGCTCTTGATATATCTGTCGTAACTGCTGGTGCTGCTGCCGCAATTGTGCTTTACGTAACTCGTCTTGACGCAATCGCTCTTGATGTAGTTGTTGCTGTTGTTCCTGATACTGCCTCTGCCGCTCTCGTTGCACTTGGTACTGATTTTGCTGTTCCTGCTGTAGCTGTTGTTGTTGCTGCAGTGGAGACACACTATTTTGATGGCCGGCCAATGAAAGCGTTTCGACTAGCTGTTTTAGTGCAGAAGCAAATGCTTCGTACGTTTGACCTTCTGTCTGGTTTTGATGCTGTCCCAACGTTTGTCGGCGAAACGACATCTGGTTTTGCGAAAAGATGGCAAGCGCTTTTTCCTCAAATGGAGTCTTGATCGCAAGATCGTTGACGGGCCAGATGCGCCGCATAATACAGAGGAAGAAGAGACGCTGGAAGGTGAGAGAGTTCAGTTTAAGATTGATGGCAAGTTCTCGCGCAAGAGGGGGACACATACGTGTCTCACATGACTGCCTCAGCAATTCAAACATGGCCGAGTGATTGACAAAGTCACGAAAACATTCAATCTAGTGATTGAACATCTGTGGCCACTTGTTGGCAATGTGATTGACGTGGTAAGGAAAGGTTGAGAAGAATTGCAGGTAAAAGGGCGTCAGCGTCATGTTGTTGCTAAGTGCTTGGGCCATGACATCAATAGCAACCTCCAAGTCCGGCATGTTCCTCACCGAGTGTGGCAGTTGGTTGGGGCAATAAGTGAACATGCAGTAGAACTGGTGCATGGTAAGATAGGTCCAGTCAGCACTCTCGACAGCATCGCGTAAAACTCTCATCCTCAGCCCGTTGAGGTTATTTATTGGCGTTGCCGATGAGGGGGGACAGAAAGCATCCAATAGCCTTCGGCAGTCGTCGACAGTATACCATTCGTGGGGACTTATTGAGGGTATTTGTGGGGTGGACCGTGGCGTAGGAACAGTAGCATTCTGCGCAACGACAGGAGAGGGTGGGGGTAGCGATGGCCGGGACGAAGGCCGGGACAAGGGACGTGGGGGGGCAAAGGGCGGATGTGGCTGAGGCGGTGTTCTATTGGCGCGGGGGTCTTGGAACTGCACGCCTTGTGCCAACTGTGGCGACGGCATCTGGTTGTTTGCATGGCCTCCAACGGATGGAGTGCGCTCGACTATTGGGCTGCTGACGTGTGTTGACATTGGACGAACTGTGGTTGTAGAAGGCATATTGTCATGCTGGACATTCCCAAGGCTCTCACGGCGTGCTGTGTCGATGGAAGCGGCTTCAGTTGGTGTATCCGGCACGTACATTGGCTGAAACATGTCAGCTACCGTAGTCGGTGTCGCGGCCGCATTTCCCATGTTCTCTTCGCTTGGGGCGGGCGAGGGAAAGACACTATTAACTCCTGATGGCGCATGGCTGGCGCTGTTGTGGCGGACCGTGACGTTTGGGAGCTGGGGCGAGGTGGAGTTGGAAACAGATTCCGACTGTCGCCTGGATGGTGGTTTGATTGTGGGACGTTTGGGCAACTGCACGCCATGTTTCCTCGGCCTTACGCGACCGCGCACCTTGAAAGGAAGAGGGTTTGTCGTGAGTTCTGCGGGATCAATGGGTGAAGATATGGGCGCCGCGCCTCTTCCTGTTGCTCCGGGTGTTGTTGGTGTTGTTACTGTTGTTACTGCCACTGTTGATGCCCCTACTCCCCCTCCTCCCCCAGGCGGTAGCATCCAGCTCTTGCGCCGGCCACCGAGGTTGCCCAGGGCATAGTCGAGGGTCTGGGCCGTGGCATTCTTGTCCTGGGGGGGCAGTCGATTGTGTACCATAGCGCCGTCTTGGAGGCAGCCAATGCGCTATGTTGGCTGACGTGTATCGGGTTTGGGCACAGTCGAATGGGACGCCTTCATGTCGTATTCGAATAGGTAGTGGCAGTTTGTCGTATTGTGATCGGACAGTCAGTTCGGATCTTGGACGGGTAGAGTCATAGCGCATGACGACTAGGCGACTAATGCACTTGGTTGAGGGCAGGGCAAAGCAAAGGAATGCGGAGACCTTCTTCACCCTACGCACGGACATGTCAATCGACTGACGAATCTTCGCGAACAAAGTCGGGACAGTCGGATATTTGCTAGGCTGGGCTACTGCAATGGCCGCTGCAGCTAGCACGACTCGCACTCGGTGTTGGTGTCATTCGGGCCATTCCGCACATGAGGCTTTCATGATGATGGGTTGTCAGTGAGATTTAATCATGTGCTACGGTGGTTATCTGTGCAGTCATGTGCTGTGGTACGTAGGGCATACAAGGTAATTGGGGCGATGCAGTGTAATTAACGCCTGTCGCCTATTGAGCCACGGCCAGGCCAGCACTTTGGGCTAGTCATCCAAGGCTGGCTCCGCTGGCCCTTTACTCGCACCACCCAAATATAGCAGGCCACGATAACAGAGTCGTATACAAGCACCCTCTTTGCCGTCATCGACATTGACACCATCCCCCGCACCGACTGTTTCCCATCAGTCAGCAATAGGTACAGTACTTAACAGTACGTCCCTGCGCTCGGGAGTCCGAAACAGGCCCGCCCACCTGGCAGCCGACCGCGCCAACGCCGACGCCGACTCGTACAGGTCAACTACGAGATGAAGCTTTACTGACAGGTGACTGCCGCCCTTGGATGCGACCACCCACCAGCGTGCCTAAAGCGCTGCAACCACGACCGACCCAACAAGTCTTGTCCGTAGCTGACAAGCATGGCCCAACGCTCCCACACCGAGAGCTGCCGGCCCGGCGACACCCTCGTCGTAGTGCGTAGGTTCACCCCTCACCCCCGCTGTTGCATCACGATGCAGTACATGTTGCGCTTTCAACTGTTGACATGTGGTTGCAGATGAATTCCTGGCCCGGAGCCCTGATGAGCTGAGCCTGCGCCGTGGGGACCGCATCGAGCTGATTGAGCGCGACGACGACTTTGGCGACGGCTGGTTCCTAGGCAAGAACACGGAGACGGGCGAAAATGGCCTCTTCCCCGAAGGTATGTACATGTTTTCTACATGCACCCTGATATGTGCACTCCCTCATCATGTGCCCATGTATTCACTCGTCCTACCAGTCTACACGCGCCCGGCGCCAAAGCCCACGCCCGTTCCTACCATGCTCTCGCGCAATCCCTCGCAATTGTCTACGCACGACGACAAATTGCTGGGTCCTCCCGGTATGGCTCTCTCTGAACCAGCCGCGTCTCAGCCACCAGCTGCCACGAGTGCCCCTCCTCCCCTGAAGTCGGCACCCACTGAACCCCTTCACATTGCCTCGGGAACCGATGTAGCGCGCAGGGCGTCGGTGCAGAATGGCCAGCGCAGCATCAGCATGACGTTGAACGGGGAGCCTGCGCCAGACCCCGAGCCCATAGGAAGCCCCGTCATGCACGAGACGCTCAGCGTCATCGACGAGCATATTACCGGCATGAACACGCCGCGTCACAGCGCCGTTGGGAGGGAATTGCGCGCAAACGACTCTGGTAGTGAATACAGCAGCCACCACCGTCTATCCTACATCAACGGCCAGGAGACGGACGACGAGGAGCAAAACTGGCACACGGAAGAGGAGGTCAAGACATGGTCGCCTGCCCGCGTGGCAGAATACCTAGAAGATGTGGGCGTGGAGAAGAAGCACTGCAATGTCTTCAGGGACCAGGATATTGACGGCGAGGCGTTGCTGGGCGTCGACCGCAACTTCATCTTCATGCAAGAGTTTGAACTGGGACCCATGGGACCGCGCCTGCGAACGTGGATGAAGATCAATGCGCTCCAATCAGAGGTCAAGAGCGCAAAGGAAGCCGCCCAGCTCGCCCAAACAATGCCCGCCCTAGGCGACCCTGAGGACTCTCCCACCGAAACTGGAAGAAACAGAGCTGCATCCACGGGTGCTGTCCTCCCTCGAATACCCACACTGCGCGAAGGCATGGGCTCTCGTGGCAGCACGAATCGCCAACACATCCCGCGTGCAGCCTCATCTGCCGGCCGATCTTCCACTATCGAAGCCACTTCTCCACTTATTCAGCATACTCCTGCCTCTCCTACCATGGGCTCGCCGAACCGACCCTCGGCCGCCTCTGTACGAAGCATGCATCACCAGCGCCGCCACTCGTCTATTGATTACAACCAGAACCAAGGCACCCAAGCCCCACATATGCACAAGATGCCCTCGTCTGCATCCCCCACTTCGCATAAGAAAATGCCCTCGTTCGACCGCAACTGGACCATGGGATCCTCGTCTAAAACCCCACAGGAGCTAAAAAGACCGTCTTCGTCGCATCACGCCCATGCCTCGAGCACCAACGGAATCGCTTTGGACCAAAACGAAGCTGGGCTGGCCACGTCAGAGCTTGACAGGGGCTACTTCTCGGGCGGCGAGGTTGATAACCGAAAAAACAGGAACGTTTTGCGCAAGAAAGATAGCCCGAGTCATTCGCGGTCCGGTAGCTACGCCACAGATGCTGGACGACGTCTCTCCTACAACCGACGCCATAGCAGAATCGGCAGCGCAGACTCAGCCCTGCAACACAGTCCAGTCTCGTCCGCTGCCAAGCAATATTACGGCACTAGCATCAAGAGTGATCGCTCCAGTGCTTATGACTTTGTACGGCCTCTCAAGCCAGCGAGCGAAATGCATCCGACAGTAACCAAGCTCGCGTACGACTCACACAGCATCGACGCCATTGCAAACTCGCCTCATATGCCCGGTAGCGAAACTTCAAGTACAGGCCGCGCATCTCCTTCACCCGCTGCACAATCACATACTCGCTCCTTTTTTAGCAGCAAAAAAGGTTCACAATCCAGGGGCCTACGGGCGATATCAGACGCAATCACTGGTGGAGAAAAAGCCCACATCAGTACCGCAGACGCGATCTCTCCAAATAAAGACTCCCCAATGCAGTCGCCCTCGCGGACTGGCTCAAGTACACCGTCGGGGACTTCGCTATCAAAGAGTTTTGAGCTTGAAAAAGTCGACGCAAGCAAACGAGCCAAGGACGGGCGGAAAAAGGCCAAGAAACACGGCACAAGCGCATATCTCAAGGGTCGTTTGGCCATTACCCCACAAGAAGCCATGGAGAACTGCGACTACAGCGGCTGGATGAAGAAGAAGTCGTCGAGCCTTATGACGACGTGGAAAAGCCGGCTATTTGTGCTGCGTGGTCGACGTCTCGCGTACTACTACACCGAAAACGACACGGAAGAAAAAGGTCTCATCGACATATCATCGCATCGTGTTCTCCCCGCAAACAACGAGAGGATGGCAGGACTCCATGCTTCGCTAACAGGCGCAGCCTCATCCCCATCATCGCCTCAAAACGCCACCTTGCAAACAACCGCATCTACCGATAGCGCAAAGGGTATCCCTGGCCTCGAAGGAGACGTATCAGGCATGTTCATTTTCAAGCTCGTCCCCCCACGCGCCGGTCTCCAAAAGGGCGTCCAATTCACCAAGCCAATCGTCCACTACTTCGCCGTCGACAACCTCGCCGTCGGCCGCCTTTGGATGGCCGCGCTAATGAAGGCAACTATCGACCGCGACGAAGCTCTCCCTTTTACCACGACGTACCAGCAAAAAACCATATCGCTCGAAAAGGCGCGTGCGATGCGCCAACGGCCCCCTAACCTCATGGATGAAGATGACAACGCGTCTGCGGATGCGGCGGAACGGAGAAGCGCAAAGGAAAGTCTGCAGGAAAGCACCATTCATGAGGAAGAAGACGAAAAGGGGCTAGCGATATCGGGTCTTGATGATGCGAAAGCGCTGCTAGCGTATGCGGATACGTCCACGGAGCATCATCATCATCATCATCATGATCCGCATAAGCATGATAGTTCTGCTACGGCGGTTGCGTTGTGATGTGCGATTTCATTTCCATCAGCGTCTCTCCCCCGTTGCTTTAATTTTGGCATCTTTTTTTTTTGGTCTAGATAAAGTTTCACAAGTAACATTTGCATCATTTTACTCATAATTCCATTCGCTGATAGCTAGTCATGGGGGTTTTTGGTTTTCAGCGAACGTGGGGGTCGGTCCTGGTTGGACATTGGACATTGGACGAGGGATATTGGATAGGAGGATTAACATTGGCATCGGCATCGGCATTGAGTGGAGTGAGCGGTTCTGTTCTCTTTCTTCTTGTTTTAGCGATGGATGCGCATCTCTCTCTCTTTCTTTTATGGTTCTTTTGTGGATATATCTTTTTTTTCGAGGGGGGAGGAGGTTCTTGGTATGGTGTGGTGGGATATATATATGTACCCATCTCTCTCTCATCATCATCCTCATCATCATCATCATCGTCGTCTCTATTCTTTCCTCTGCCGCTGCCGCTGCCGTCTTTTTCTAATCATGGTTTGCATAGCTGTGCAGCTAGCTTGCATATGTTTTTGTATTCCGACTGATTGATGATGTCAACCACATATACACACAACATTTTTTTTCCATCGAGACGAAGATTTCTGCGCTGGGAAAAGCGGAGATCTATCTCCTTGTTCTTCTACGGTACTTTACTCTTGTATTTTGAACTTGCTGGTTTGACCCGTCTTTTTTGAGTTTTTTCGGTTCGTTTCTTTTGGCATCATGGATGGCATCAGGCGGGCAAGATGCGATGCGATGCGATGGATTATGTAAGTGTAATAGTACGATATTTTGGAAATCTAGAACTCTGCAGCTGGTGTGTGGTGTGTGAGGTTTGCAATCTTGACGTTGTATGTGTGTGGATGGGTGGAGGAGGAGAGGGGAGGAATGTAAGATAGCTAGGGATGGTGTGGTGTGTCTCTGTCTCCCTTGCTACTATATTCATCCATACAGGCATTCATGTCCCTTTCTGTCATGTAGGTAAGAACACATTTCCCACATCTCCCCTCCTACCCTCCCATCTTCCATCTTCCATCCCTCACTCCCTCCAACAAACCCCCGTACAAGCCCTGCAATCTCCAATGCAACACCACCGCATCTCAACAACCCACCCAACAACTATAACCGCACTCGCCCACGCAGCCATGTCTTCCTCTACCACCTCCTCGTCGACCGGAACATCAACGTCCATTTCTCCTGCCCCTTCTACTCCAACGCCGTTGTCGCGGAAATATATCCCGTCTTCTTCTTCTTCTTCTTCTTCTTCTTCTCCGCGTGCGAAGACGGTTCCACCACTTCTGTCTTCACTGTCGCTTCCACAGCACTATTACGGAAAAGAAAAGGGAAGGGAAGGGGAGGTGGAAGTGGAGGCTACACGCGAGGCCGCCCCCGTTACCGAACAGCTTACGACCACGACTACGAGCGTGAGCGCGAACGGTGTCGTGAAAACAGCGGCGGAACGAGCCGCATACGGCGGACACTGGTTCTTGCTGTTGTGTTAGTTTTATGTGTCGTTAGTGGTGTGGGGATATTTCTTCCTCTTTTTTCGGTTGGAGAATCGGTGGCGTTTACTGATACAATGAGAGACTTGGGAGGAGGAGAAGGACGACCATCAGACTACAAATCCAACATCGGCGGTATGTGGGATTATGTTACTGCGATGATTGCTCAATTCCAGCTTTCACACCAAGGACCAGGGCAAGGACGGGGGTTTGGTCAGGAGAGGGTATGGCAGCAACAGCACGATGGGGGCGAATGGGAAGAAGGGGGGGAGAAACGTGTTTACGCTGGTGTGGGCGGTGGGGCGGTGATTAGACTCCAAGCCCAGGCTCAGGAACAGATGCAGAAGGAGGAACCGCAAACGCAGACATAGACACAAGATACAGGAAACGTGGGTGCAGAGCAAGACACGCGACATGTGGATATGGGTGCAGATGCAGAAACAGCAACCGCAGATCTACATGTCAACGACGCTGCTGTTGTGGGGGAAGGGGTGTTGTATACCGAAGCTATTAATGCCGACGCTCAGCAGCAAAACGACCAGAAACAAGTCCAGGAACAGCAGGACGACAAACAAGGAATGGACGTGGAAAATGAACAACAGCATTCGGAACAAGCAGCGGACACAACGAACGCGAACGTGGATGTGGATGTGGGAACAGAAGGAGAAGGAGTATACGGTAATGCGGAAGTAGAAGTAAACGCAGAAACTCCCGCTCCTACTCCTATTCCTACTACTGCAGCACAAAGCTAGTCACAACACACAGATACACACACAAACAACTAGCTAATCAAAAATCTTGCTTTATACGCTACACAAATGCTATGCTATGCTATGCCTATGCTATATTGTCCACATAACTACAAGTGATATATATATATGAAAAAAAAAATGCTAGCGAGTGTTATAGTTGGTTAGGGGGGTATCACATGTCTAAAAGTGCAGAACAACAACAAAAAAACTCCTCAAAAACCCCCTTTCTCCTTGTTAAAAACGCCGACCCAAGGTACCGTGAGTGGTAATGTTGGGTGTATGATGATGATGCTTCGTACTTGTCCTCGCCGACATATTTAAATTTTCGGCGCAGGTAAACTCCTCTTCCTCCTCATCTTCAACTCGCGCTGCGTCTCTTCCTGCGGCGCCCACCAATCCCGCATACCGCACTGCGCCTCGAGCGTCTTGAAAAGATCGTCGACACGATCGAGCATCCATCCGCTGCGGAAGCGCGTGTGCGGTTTAGCGTAGCCGAGCTTAAAAGTAGTTGAGATACCACAGCTACCCTCGTTGAAGGAGAATTGGATACAGTCGGTTTGCTCCTCGCATAGGGCGTGGCAGTGGTCAAAAGACTTCCACGCGTTGCGCTCGAGTTCGTTGTCTACGGCGGAGTGGTCGTGGGCGTTGTATTCTTTATCGGCCGACATGTTGTTCCATTCGAGGACTGAGGCGCCGATTTTGGGGCGGACAAGCTCGGTGAAGATGTCGCGGTGGCGGAGGAGGATGGGGTGGCGTTGGTACCAGTCTTGCTCAAAGGCCCAGAGCTCTTCAATTTCCGCGGGCGAGACGTGGTGGTAGGTTATGGCCGGGTAGCACCACAGACCACGGTCGATCTTGGTGATGGCTGGGTTGAGCGTGGCGGGCGAGTCGCTTTGGAAGTGGGGGAATGCGCGGTATAGTGGGACCTTTGCGTCTTCGAGGACCTTGCCTAGGGCGCAATCTCCCACCCAGTGCGTAGCGGTGAATTCCTCGTATTCGCTCACCTTGGTCGATCGTTGTTGCGACACCTTTCGTATAGCGGGGTTGGAGAGGGCGAAGCCGGCACCTCCGTAGGCGAACTCGACGTCTTTGATGAACAGATGCTTTCCAATGTAGTAAGGCTTGCTGTCATCAAACTGACTAAGGTACTGCAGGAGATTGTTCCAACCCAGGTAAGTGTCCGTCTCAATAAAGACATACCACTTCGCATCGGGCTTCTCCTTCAGCGCTTGGTCCACCATGGGCAGAAACTTCCACTTGTCTAGTTGCCAGCCGGCATTGTCCGTGCGTAGATAGTCGCCCTGTGACGATCCAGACATGGATGTCTCGACTTTCTGGTGCACTCCACGTCGTCCATGCTCTTGTAGTTGATGGTAAAGCTTAAAGTCATCTTGTTTCTTCTTCGTCTCTTCCGTGACATCCTTCAAAACGTCATGTACAGCATGTCCCTCGATTTCTTCCTCCAAGTCCGAGTGTACGACGAAGTGGGGAACACATCTTAAAGTGGTACGAAAGTGCACGGGCACTTTTTCCAGCGACTCAGTCGCACCCGTCCGCAGGACGATTAGAATGTCATCGGCGAGGTCGGAGTGTGGGCAGAAGAGTTCTTCGGTATGCTTCTGAGCATACGTCCTCCCGTCTTGATGGAAGAACGGCGAAGAGGCTCTGGTGAAAATATTCAGGACCGAGACGGAAAAAATGGCGCAGAAGAGAAGTCGGCAGAGGACGGAGCGGTGAGGCATCTTGGTAGACCGGAGCATGAATCAGCGCCGGGCTGTATCCGGACACAGTCTAGCGATGCAAAAATGATAGTGGTCGCAAAAGATGCAGAAAGATTAGAGAAGGAGAGTGTATATATGTTCGCTAGTAGTCTGATAGAGAATGTGAGAGCAGTGCCGTAGCCATCGGATGATGACGGTCTGACAAAGCGGGGTGCAGTAGTCGTTCGTATAGGATAAGGAAAGATGTCAGTCAGAAGAATCAAGGGAGAAGGTGTGCCTTCTTGAGTGACTTGTAGCCTGCGACGATCATCGCCTGTTGGCAGTCTGTGTGCGCAAGTCTCCGAGACGGCGCGGCGATCAATGCCTTCGGTGGGGATTCCATCCTACGCCGGCCCCTTTGCGGCGTGTCATGACCGTACAAGAGGGGTTTATCATAAACCTCAGGAGACACTTTACATGTCTATGCTTTGGGACTGGTTCTGTGTGTTGGCACAACCAAGCGGGCCGCTGCATAGCTTCACTGAGAGGCGTGGTTGCGTGTGGGGTGCATACCGTCTGGTCCAAAGTGAGGTGACGGTTAGAGAGCCGTCGCAGCGGTAACCTGGGGCACGAGTTGTGCGCTTACCGCATCGGACACGTGATTAGCTCGTCATAGCGTGACGTTACGTCATGGTTGTTTCACGCGGCTTGATCTGGCAACATTGCAAAATGCTGATCTTCTTTTGCGCCCTCTTTGTGGAAAGTTAGATTCAGGGTCCAGCACCATGATTGCTGGAACGCGCGTCGACAAATGGGGTATCCTCTCTCACTGCTCATCCGAGAGGTTAGTGATGCTTGTTAGTGCGGGAGGCGGGGATATGCATACAAAGCACGGGGCCCCTTTGCGACACCTGACTGCCGTTGTTTAATGCCCAAGACGTCGAGGACCAATGCCATCTTCTCTTGGTTCCTGAGACCGGCAATAGCTGCAACCTTGAAACCTGAGTCGTGGTTTGATTGACATGACAATGCTGCCGCTGCACTTGCTCTCACGCAGCGTCGCATTGTCCGTTTACCTTCTCGTACTTTGAGTTGGCACGTGGTGTCACTCAGTTGTCACTCAGTTGTCACTCGGTTGGACATTCCGTGTCTATCAATTCCTGCTTTCGAGATAGCGGAGATCGTGCTCCGACGTCAGACGGAAAATACAGATTCCACGCTTAGCATGTGCACGCTTACGTGAAGGGTACGGTGACATGACGAGTTGGAACATACATCGCGAGCTCGTATTCGTAACGGAGTTTGCCTAGGAAATCCTTCTGAGTAACTAGAACGAAGACTTCACACCGACTTTCTGGTCGCCAGACACACGGTCACCCATTTCTTTGCTTCCAACCTCGATGATCCATACACATTTACAACATGGCTTTTTGTGAGAACTATATACAACGAAACACGAATTCATACATATAGACGTCATACGCCCGGGATTTAGCTGATCCCCTGAAGATCCATCGCATCGACATGTTTTACTTCCTGATGCAGCCAGTCCTGGACGTCAACGCCGATGGACATGTAACCTCCTTGAACGACACGCTCGGGTTATCAGCATTCTTGAACCAATCGAACCTCCACTGGCAACCCGCCTTGAGCTTCGCGGGGAAGCTATCGCAGTCGGATCGCTTTGAGATACCGCCATACTGCTGTCCCCAACCGTTTGGAGGTGCGCCCCACTGGTTCGTGCAGGCGTTGAAGATGCCAACGCCACCACCCGGCATGGCGATATCGAAGTGGTTGTCGCCAAGGTCGCCGCCAGTGTTGGTGGTTTGAACAATCATCTTCTTACCCGAGACAGGGCCAGATGTAAAGGTCAATCTAGAGAAAGGCGAATCAGCATGATACTTTATAAGAATCTAGGGGAGTGTTGACTTACTCATAACAAGCACAGCACCAATCAGCCTCAGACTTGCCCTGGAGCTTCACAGCCGCAAAGCCGTAGGCGGTGTTGTCGTCGACAGCCCATGGCATCTGGTTTGTGCACATGTATGCCGAGCCACCATTGTCGCAGGCGTTCTTCGCTGCCATGTCGGCAATGGGGTTGTCGCTCTTGTCGCAGCTTCTAATGGGCTGATTCACGTTGGCCTTGCCGGACCATCCGCATGAACCTTTGCAGCAGTCCCAGTACCGGGTCGTTTTTCCGGTGGATTGGGCGTCAACGGTTGCGAGACCGGATGCCAGGGCAAAGAAAGCGACTTGTTTGATCGACACCATAATGGGCAAGCGAGTCTAGGGTAGCTTTGCTGAAGGAGGGTAGTAAAAGGAGGATCGTAGGGAGCGTGATAATGGCAAGACAGCTGTGGGATATCAATTTATATCTCCAGGGTGTCTTCACAGCCCCAGTTGTTGCAATATAACGTAGATGCACCCCACACGTTGTTGCTGTTGGGCCTGGCCAGTCCAGCCATGGCGTCGCCGCAATATCATATCAGAGATCAACGGTCTCAACTTGGTCTACCGGCTTGTGGCTGCAGTACCGCACATGAACCTTTCATCTACTTCCGCCGGTTGTACGGCTTCCTCTAACCGAAATGAAGACTGGATCCACACCAACGCCCACATACGTAATCAACGCCTTTACAAACGCGGACGCAGCTCGAACATGTGTGGCCACGGCAAGAAACCCGCCCACATCCAACTGACTTGCTTATAGTGATTCTCGGTGTTGCAAAACATGGCTATCTAGATTGACTTTCATATATGCGGCGGCTTTGCGGCTGCTTACATGCTGCAAAGCGTACTAGGGTTCGCTCAAAGCCGAGTGGCGCGGAGATTTGGCAAAAGGACTCGGCAGCGGGGTGCACAAACGAGATTTTAATAAAAGCTCCGCAGGAAAGCTTGAGTGTGCCAGCCTGCGGGCTGGGGTCAGCTGTCGGTACAAAGAGATTACATGTCCTATGGTGGTACAACAGGTGTCGTCAGCCCTCACACCCTAGAGATTAATGATGTTGTTGGAAAAAACGACGATGGGGCACAATGGGGAATGTTTAGCGCGGTTTCAGAATCATACCGATATTCATCACTAGCGAAGGGCGGAGAGCTTGGATTTCCTTGGGAAAGGAGCGCTCATTGGTTGGGGTGCGATAATTAATTTGTACAAGTCGTCATTCCTTTCGGTCCACCGTCGGGGTTATCGGGAGGGAACAACCAAACTACCTGACTGCTGGAGATCGTGCTGGCATGCAGATGAAGTCAATCTCAGTCTGCGCAAATCGTCTAACTAGAACCTGTTGTCTACTCCGGCCGTATTCGTATGCATTGATGCGAAAAGGGAGCATGTAATTTAGACATGTAAGATGGAAAGAGAAAGTAGATGAAGTTGCTACTTGGATATCCTTGCGTATGCTGTCTCCAAATAGGGCTTCTAGCGTTTCAATTAGTAAGCCCCACCATCTGTCCGTCCCTTCCGCCGTCCGCTGCTCGCACCAGTTGTGGGAACCTGCCTCGCCGTTTGTCCAGCGTCCCGGTTCTTGTTCACGGGCATGCGTTAGGCGCATGAGGTGTATATTAATACGTCCAAGTGTTGAAACATTTTAGTACCCATTTGGACGGTTCCGCAGTTCTCCTGCGGCTTACTATTTGTAGGACGGAGCTGGATACGAGTGTGATCAATGTTGGAAAAGCCTGCCGAATGGCGTACAACATACATTTAACTTCCACCATGTTTCGATCATGTTGTGGACGGCATAGAAAACCCTGCTATACGTGGCGTCGTGACATGTGCGTGTTTTCCTTTTGCTCATAAAAGAAGGCGCGCAGCCATGGACGCCTGTCTGCGACATGAAACTCGACGATGACGTAAAGTCTACAAAAGCCGCCTCCAATATACGCTGCATAGGACAATGGCGGACGCGAACGCCTCTTCGACCCTTCGAATCTCCCTATTCCTTTGAGGTTCTCGCCTCTGATCTTACGAAGCTCATCACCATTATTGTTGACGCCTCGTCACGCCATTCACGATAACGCGAAACAACATTGAGGAAAAAGTCTATGCTGGAGCTGAGGCTGATGCGACGCAAATCTATCCTGTGATAATTTCAGCCAGCCAGGTCTTCTAAGGGGTGCTAGTATGAGGATCTTGAGGCAGTCGTCCATGACTTCTGGAAACATGCATCATGGTGAAAAGACAAGTGTGTATGTATTCAAAAGATATACGTATATACCACCCATTTCGTCCCAGCCTACTCCTGTTTGGTGGTAAACTCCGATTTCTCAAAGCTTCCAGAGCTGGTATTTGCCAGCTTACTATGCACATTAGCTATAGCACTCTCAACAGCTGCCGGCACATCGATGTGGAAGAACGGCCTATTCTGTCCATGAACAGTAGTGACCTTGACAGCCGCCGAGCGCTTCTCTGGATCGACGGTGCGAATCTCGTCTTGTGCCTCTGGGTCATGCACTCTGGGGGTGGCATTGACCAAAGGTGCGTAGCTGTAGACTGGGTTCCAGTGTTGGCGGGCGGCAAAACGTTCGCGGTCGATGTATCCAAAACCCGCCGTCGTCAACGCACGCTTTGTCCAGCGGTTGTTGACAGATGCAAAGTGCCACTCTACCGTTTCAGGCGCGGCATGGCGATCCAGTTGTGTGCGTACGTCAATGAGACCTTGAATTGATGTGACGTCGACGTGGTTGACAGCGCTGAAATCCAAAATGATGGCGCGGAGGATTGGCCGGTTATCATCTGTGTTGATAGGCTTTCCACGACGCGGACCTTGGCGCATGAAGTCAGTATTGTATAAAAGGACTAATCAATTCAAGACGACGTACCGGGATCATTCCAGGGCCGGTCACCAATTTTGGAGTACCGGTCAAGCGTAGTCGGGCGGGAAATCGTTTGCGCGTGATGTACGAGCTCGTCCATGTAGCCCTGTTGGTTGAGATATGTGAAGCCCTCGGTAAAGCGGTAGATCAGAATACCAGGGTATGGAGACTCGATATCGATGAGAGAATTTGAGCCGTCTTTGTGACTAACTGGGATGAATGCTTCGCGAACAGAGGAATCTGGTCCCAGTAAGAAGTCGCTGCCCTCTCTGTTGGCTACCGTGTCTGGGGTGGCACGCCAGATCTTCACCTTTCCGAGTAGAGTTCCATGTGTGAAAAGCATGCGCCATAAAAGTAGGGCGAAAGAAGCAGCGATCGTGACGTAAATGCCGTTTTCGATGTTCGTGAAGATGGTGACAAAGACACCCGCGAAGAAGATGACGACCTCTAGAGGACTGGTTTCCCAGTATTGGTAGATGACATTGGGCTCGGTGATGAGATCTCCAACAGCATGGATGATGACGGCTGCGAGTGCAGCCGAGGGAATGTAGAAGAAGACAGCCGTTAGGGCGTACAAGGCCAAGAGGACGATGACCGCTGTGAAGATTCCGGCAAGCGGAGTACGAACGCCTGCTTTCGACTTGATAGCAGTACGCGAAAACGATCCCGTGGCAGGATAGGCTCCCAGGAATGGCCCGATGACGTTGGTGAAGCCGACTGCTACAAGCTCCTGCGAAGCTAAGGTACAGCATTAGTACTCGTTAAGATACAGATGTTAGAACAACTTACGATTGATGACATAGTTGTTGATTCGTCCGAACGATTTCGATATGGCAATGTGCTCGAGAATCAGGACGATGACTGTGACTGGGATATCAGGAGCAATGGCAGAGATAATCTTGGTATCCATGTTCGGCACGCCAGCATGTTGAAAGCCTCTAGGCACGTGACCCAAGATCTTGAATTTCGCGAGCTTGACACCGTTCTTCCCATCATGGAGACCTCTGATGTCTTTGTTTGCAAGCCAGCCGATCATGATGTATAGCATAATAACAAACGCCATGCGCAGCGTGCTAGTCTAGAAGAAATTTTAGTTTGCAAGCTGCCATCGGATGCGCGAAACTTACGAAGAACCATATCTTCTGCTTGGACGGTTGCTTCTTCGACATGAAGTTGCAGAAGAAGCGTATGCCGTAGAGCATTACAAGAGCACTTAGGCCTACAGCTGCGTCGAGTTTTGTGCGTCCAAGGCCTTTGAGAGTGTCTATGATCACAAGGTACGTAGGTCCACGAGTGTTGATCCCAGTAATGCCCATAAGTGCTGGGACCTGACCAGCTCCAATGGAAATTGCGGCCCCGGTCATGAATGAGCTGATTGCGACCAGAGGAATGATTTCGACAATTCTGCCTAATCGTGCAAGACCAATGAACAGCAAAACTGAGCCAGCGATGACGGATAGTGCTCTAGCAATGTCCACGGCTTGAATCTCTGGTTGTTTTTCTTGGACCTTGGTGACAATATTTCCGACAATGGTGCTCATGACGGCAACGGTACCGATGGTGATGTCCTTGGACGTAGCGAATGCCCAATAAAGGATAAACCCGACAAAGCTGGTGTATAAACCATATTCAGGAGGCAATTTCGCTAGCAAAGCGTACGCCATGCCCTGAGGTATTACAACAAATCCAACTGTAACGCCGGCGATGAAGTCTCCGAACAGCCATGTCAGATTGTAGTGGAATATCCAGTCGAGGAATGGAAACAAGCTCCTTGTGTAACGCTTGATGGCAGCTGCTGATGGCTTGAACTGCGAAAGCCATTCCCGTGCTGTCGGCTCACGCTCTGTATCTGTTCCTTTCTTCAGTTCTGCGTATCGATTGACGGTTGTGGTACTCACAAGTCTCCACAAAGGTGCTTGAACCAGCCCTAGGAACCTCGGGCTCGTTTCGGTAGTCGAGGCTTATCCCAAGGATCTTGGCGGCATTCTTACCAGCTGCTGCCATGTCAGGTAGTCGTGATAGTGGTTATACCCTAGTTTTTGGAAGGCTTGTATTCAAGACAAGCCAGCCTTGCAGTATCTCCAAGCCGTGTCTGATGCCGAGCAGGGTAAGGTGGCGTGCAGAGGGAGGACAGAGTTGATGATATTTGAAGGGAGGTCCCTGACCATCAGCTGACCGGCGTTTCTTCGGGTTGGTACGCCGATGGGACAGCACTGTAAAGAAGAAGGTGAGGCAATTTATGGATTCGCCTGCAGGTGGTTAGGTGTTGGGGGTGCAAGAATCATGTAGAATCATTGAAATTTGGAGCAGTCTTATAGGGTGTTGTATGAAAAATCCCGTGGAGAAATGGTGCCATATGCTGAGATGGCGTAGAAGGACAGACTACGCTATGATTTTCGAATTCAGGCGGAGATACAGCTGTAAAGGCTGTGGCTTGTCGTATTCCAAGAAACAACCGACCGTCAAGACGGCACATACAACTTGGCAGGGACAATGCTAGTTGGTGAGGCACGCCGTGCGAATCACAACAAAGAGCTGACATCGCTGGAAACCACCCGACCATGGCGTGCTTATGTTGAGCGAGATATTTGTTATCGGCAAAGGGAGACAAGGACTTGGTAATGCTGGGACGAGCAAAGCGCTGAGCTTGTTAGGGCTGGGCTGGCGAAAGCTGAGAGATATCATCCAGTCCCGGCGATCGCAGATCGCGTGGGGTGTTGGACTTGGCCGGGTGGTTCCGGTTGCAAAATGCTGTATTTTGTGAGTAGTCTTCGATATAGAGTGCCAGTCGATGGCTCCAACGCTATATCAAGTTGCTCATGTCGTGCGGATATGGAACAGGACGATGTGCGTCTATACGCCTGTCTTTTGCGTGCACTCAGTTCTGATGTGTGAAGTGTGGCTAACATTCGTAATCGATACCAAGAATTGCGACATCCGTTCGGCGGTATTGGCACGTCCCAGGAGGCGTCCCTAGATGCCGTAGCCGCATTAGCGCAGTGTTGTCTGTCCCCACATCGATCCCAGCGAGCATATCCCAGTCTGGTGCGATATCCACACACACACACGTGCCGAACATGCCATCGTGTCCTACAACTCTCTCTTCACAAATTCTCGTCCGCTCGTCAAATAAATTGCTATTTTGTACTGTACCATGTACTCTACCCCCGGAAACTCTCACTCCAAACTATCATGAATTTCTGATGATAGGCGACTGTCGAAATTAAGTTGTAGGACGTGGCACTAGACTTTGGAGTTTGGATGAGAGGGCAAGGTAACCCACAGGCTGTCACTTGCCTGGTGTCGCCTCACTTTTTCAGTCATTACCATCGCACATTATCATCATGGCACACACGTATCCGGTCTCTTCCCCCGCATACCCTCGGACTGATACAAATCTACACGCGCATACAGATCAAACGCTGCGAAACCTCACCTGGTAGTGAAAATCGGCCAATGCCTGAAAGAAGAGAACATGTACAAGAATGTAATGAGAAGACACAACAATGTTCTAGTCATACAAACAAAACGGAAATACTAGAACGAGGTATCGCATAAAGGTGAATATCGTCATGTTGGACACTGAACCTATCGCCATCTAGCAGTCACGCTTGTGTCGAGAGCCTTGACAAATATCACACCTCCTCAGGTAGCTGGGTCGCATCTCATATATCGCAGCAACAGCAGGCTTCATTCATCATAACGATGCACAGCCAACACTCAGTTGTATCAAGGCGAGACCCTCATACGCCACAAGATCAGCATCCCGCACAGCAACACATGCAAAACGAACAGTTGCCACAGCTACCCACATATCCTGCTTCAGAAGCGCAACAGTTGAAGCAGAACCCACAACTTTATCCGTACCCAAACCAGTATTCTCAGTCCTCCTGCGGACAGACACAGCAGCTACTGGGGCTGCTAAACTACGCGCCTTTTGGACACCCGCATGACGCTAAAACCCCTGTATCGCAAAATTCAGTGCATATGCCAGTGCAAGTACAGCACGAATCACAGTCACAACATCACCCGACGGCACAAAACGGCAAGGAGAACGTCCCACATGATGAATGGCATCTGTTGCTGGGTGTCGTGCCGACCGACCACGTAAGCATATGTAAAATTTTACCTGAACACTCATATTGTACGGTTTCTAATATCCTACAGTGTACTGGAGCCGAACTGTAAACGACTGGGTGGATAAAAAGCTCGAGAAGTGCCGAGTCGGTCAGCTAGAACAGGGATTCCATATATCCCTCGCCGCTATCAGCTTTATGCGATACAGAGCAGATCCAACGCAATCCGAAGAGTTCTTTGAAAAGCTCGAAAGAATGCAAGGTGAAGGGGATATAGCGACAATCGCGCAAGACCACCGCCACAAAGCTCCTGCCCTGAATGCACGCGCAGCTACATATACCCCCACGCCTGAAAAGAAAAGGAAGAATGAGGACGCTACATTGGTACTTAAGTCTCAAGACAAAGTCTTCGTTGCAACAGCCCCAATTTTTAGGCCTTCAGTCCAGCGTCACACCCAGGACGTGCCCCCGAAGCAGACTGCCCAAACTACGCATTGCAAGTCAGAGGTTGAGCCGCCGTATTGCCATTTCATCCCATCATACGCAACAAAGGAACTACTGCTTGTTAGCAAGTACTCAAGCCGATTAGACAGCGGTCAACCTCCACCTCCACCCCCGGCCGCTACGCCCCGACAAGTTCTATCCCGCGAACTTCACATAGGAGATGAAGTTCCCAGAGACAACACTCACCGACCGAAGGGTCCTCCTTTCAAGACATATCCCAAGCCCGCGGACCTTCAAAGCAAGTTGCGACTAGCGCTCGAAAGCAGCGATTCGTTTGACCATCTGCGAAAGATGTGGTTTGAGCGAGCTCGAGGCCAAGACAGCAAGGATGACAAAGCTACACGTTCACCAGACAGAAAGGACGAGGTGGCTAAATAGAGAGACGCGTTTGGTGGCCTCGCTACCGATTATCGTACTGACATTCGTCTTCATCCCTTGTATAAATGCCGGCTATCCGATGATCATGGCAGTGTGTTCAATGAGAAGGATAGGCTTATGTATACGGATAGACAGGGGTGAGAGTAAGCGATGAAGGGTGGTGGGAGACATCGGGTACGGAAGTAGGTTTAGAAGTCATATATGACGTTATGGCGGTATTCACTACAATTAGGTTGGTTCTCGAGCAGGTGATCAACGTGTATTTCCTCCTTGTACATGTGTGGTGTCATGTGTGCTTTTAGACGTCATGTCTCGCTAGCATTTGCTTATCTAGACAGCTGCGCATCGACAGGGTGTTAGCAATTCGGCCTCTACTACAAGTTCCATTGCAATTGACAATGGGAATAGTTCGAGGTGAGCACACCCACAGAGGCGATTGGCGGGTGTGAGTAAGATGAGTTCATCGGTGTCGATGGTATATATTCCATGGTATCAGGAGAAGGAGTGGCTTTCCCGGGTCATGGGTATCCTAATGCCACCATGAGATCCGCAGATGGCGTGGGAATGCTGAAACGCGGGATCGTTTACATGCTATATGAAAAAAATGTTGATGTAGTTCCCAGCGACGCGATGTGGTGAGAATGAGGGCATCATTACATTTTGCAGGAACATTAGACGCCAGGACGCAGTTATGCAAGAACGCCTTTAGCGATGAGATGACGTAACATGGATTGATCCCTGGGAAGTGAGATGTGTGCCCCGGTCCAGATCCAGATCCATATTAATACAAGATTCGCCTGGTAAATTTAGTTAGGGCACTCATCCAAACAACCAAAGCCATGGGAAGTGGACGGATATATCCGATGCCTGGTGCGAGATCCTTTCCCCAACCTCTCTGGCTGTTAATCAACAGGCAGGCAATAATTGCCTAAGTGTGTTTTGGTGGCGCACGCCTAGATGCAGGATAAATTGAAATGTTGCTTTTTGGTATACCACATGAGGAGATACGTAACAAAAAGCAAAACTGGATGTAGAGCAAATTGCGCGGGTTGGCTTGATATAGCCAAGGGAATTTGCTGAACCCCGCCCAGCGCCACCGCCTCCATGCAATTAGCGTAACATCGATGCATGAAACGCCTGTCTAAACTTTTACTTATGAACGGGATCCGAGGTTGCTATGGAGACAAGATACTACTTATCACGAAAACCAAATGGGCTGCTGTGACCATCATACCCACCCTCGATCTGAAGTTGGGAGTGCACAGCTTTACTCCTCAAGATGGATAGTCTCACGATGGATGCCGCGACAATCCGTAAGTGGACATAACTCTTGAAGACCTCGGGATGACATGCGACTGACGGCAACAGAAAAATTCCGGGATCGATGGTATAAGGATATGGTGGGCCTTAGCACCTGTTTGTACCTACCTGCATGGCTGGAAAGCTACTACTTACATATCTTAGATTTGAACATCGATGGGGTCGCTGTATCCGATGATGCAGATCGTTACGAGATCTTTACCATTGCTTTGCGAAGCTATCAGGAACTCAAGAAACGCAAGGACATCGAATCACCACTCGCCAAAAAGCTTATGGAGTTCACCATAGTTTCATCGATCTATTTTACTATAGCTACTTATAATATTCCCGAGCTAGATCGATTGTTTTCAGAACTACGTCGAATACATCACCACCAAGCTCCACCAGAAGGAACCTCAAATATCCATGACTACAACGAGCCTCGCAGCACAGCATCTGTTCAGAATCAAAATCCCGAGCCTGATGAATATGCTGAGGACAGCGACAACATGTACGCCAAATACGACAACAACGATTCGTCGCAGTCTCGTGTTGCTATCGCCCCGGGCGACGAAGATAGTGATTCTGATTTGCTAGACGAACCTATAGACGATGACGATTCTGATTACCAACTCGAGGCGACCTATAGGCGAAAGTGCTCCTACAAGAAGCACAAAGAGTACTCGTCCAAGGGTAAAGCAATGATCAGCTGGCTTGAAAAAGTGATCGGGGAGGGCGAGGATCTATCTATCCAGGAATTAAAAGGCGACTGGCATCTCTACTCCACCGATTATCTCAAATTCCAACAAAAGATGTGCGGACATCCAAATGAGGTCAAATTCAATCGCGGAAAACTCTCCATCACCCATCATGACGAAAAGCACGGGACGGGATATGATGGCTTCCTTGGACAAATGACGTTTTACGGAATGCCCGATGGATATGTCTGGAACGTGTCTGGCTATACTCCAAGCTCGGTTTCTCCCCACTCCAGACTACACCTCGCCGAGGCAAGTATCAACGGGAAACGGACTGGGGCAACCATAATGCTGAAAATAACCTTCTGCGGCAATGGATACATGACAACAACTTCTCCTGCAAAGGCCGTTAATGGGGCGGAGGTTGGGGATTTCACTTTCACTGGCGTCTTCAGCGAGAAGACCAAAATCGAGAAAGAGGATGAATGGGCAAAGAAGAAGGGCAAATGGATCGACTGCGGACAGTATTATGACTGGGACGCACCTGACAGGGGTCCTTTTCGTTCCGCGACTCACAACAACAAGACATGCTACGATGAAGATTGTGAAGGGCATATTGACGGCGACCGCACTCCCATGACGCACAGCAAGAGAAGCAGGATGCCACGGATACGCCCCAAAAAGGGGGAAATAGATACGGATAGTGAGGAGTCATATTACTCGGACACGGAGGCCCATTACCCATTTCATGCTTGGGACATGGATTACTAGATTTTCCTGTACAATAGCAAGAGAAAGAGAGAGTTTCGCAAGTCTACCTTGCACCAAGACAATCCCAACCACCCACCAAATTCACCAACCACCTCAATACCTCAAACCGATTCAATAAATCTTGAAACATCCCCCCATATCAACTTCTTACTATGAGCGCGTGATTGACGCGTATATATGTAGGTCTCCTTCACGCGGGGCCAGCATGTACGCGTCATTACCTTTCATCTTACCTAAGACCCGACTGAACTCACGAGCTCGCCATCAAAACAACATCGCACGACCCAATGGCTCCCATGGCCCCAAACAAGCGTAGGTGACGGGCTAAAAAGAGTAAGCGCATTATATAGCATGGCTAGGAAGAATGAGGTATTTAATCGCTTGCAGCAACAGCAACAGCAACAGCAACGCAGAAGTATGGCGACCTGAGGACCTACTTCCCCACCATTCCAAAGCAGGTGATTCCTGCTCCCGCGACCAGTCATGACATTGACACTGTACGCCATGTTCAGCATTACCAGAAAGCGCGCGCCTTCACGCCCGTGAAGATCAAAGAGGAGGAATTGAGCGAGGCAGATGAAGACGACGAGGTTTAAGGAACTGACACCGAGGCCCCTCGTGATATTGGCACTCCGCTTCGTACTCGGTATCATCAGAAGTCGCGTGCCATCACGCCTGTGCAGATTAAAGAGGAGGAGATGAGCTCCGCTGAAGAAGAAGAGTATCAGGATAACAGCGCCGATACCGCATCGAAGAAGAGGAGCAAATCAAGGAAGCCGACTCCACGACCGAGAGCGAAGGCGAGAAAATAGTCGTCACCCAACCAGTACGCACTCCCATGCACGCCTTCCACCGGGCCCACGCAAAAGCAACAAAGTACTTCGACGAGTTCATGTACGCCCTAAATAATCTCGCCCAAACAATGCAACCACAGATCACAGACGGCCCAGTCATCGACGTGCCGCAAAACATAGTTCGCGGCGAGTACACCCTGTACTCACCAGACTGGATGGTATTCCACAAGCACAACTATTCACACCTCTGGACAGAGCAATTTGCGGCTACGTGGAGCGCTGGTACTCTGCGACTAGGATATCGCTGGGGCCATGACGGAAGCCCAGTTGGCCTGGAGTTTGCCATAACGGGGATTGACCATGAGTTTCGTACCGTCGTCGACCTGGATGGTAGAGAGGCGGGACAAGTTTACGAATTGGGTACGCATACTGAGCTAGGGTTTGTTCGTGGCCCGTATATGGGATTGAAGATTGCCAAGGCATATCTGGGTTGGGAGGTCGTGGCTGGAGAGTGTCGTTTTGTTTTCTTCCATGGGATTCTGGATAGGACCGAGGAGGATATGTATAAATGGGGGGCGAGAATGACAGAACGGAACATGTATCCGTATTATAATGCGCCGTTCACGCCTACACTTCCTCAGGCCCAGGTCAGGTATTGAGTTA